GTGAAGAAACCTTCAGATCAGCAGTGAAATAGATGAGGATAGCGAGAGGAATATAGGTAGTGCGTGAGCCTCTTCCTGCCCCTGCCCAAGTACTCTCCACCCAGCATGTGTGTCTCAGTCTGATTACTATACATTTGGAATTACTGTTGTACTGTATCTTTTAGTTAATCAGTGTTAATTTAAATCAGCTTCGATCTAATACGTTACCTTAATTAGCATTAAAGGGAGGGTTAGTGTGGTCTTGTTTTTATATTGTAATAAACACTCCAGTGTTTGTGTCTACAGCGTGGGGAATTACAGTTTATTTTTTTTTAATGGAAAAGACTTTTATGAAGAGCTTCGTGACAGTTTTATTGTCCATTTCTTTACAGTAGGGCACGATAATCCCAGAGGCAGGGACACAGAGGAGGCATTCATGTTTTTTTTTTTAGCTGATTACTATACATTTGTAATTACTGTTGTACTGTATCTTTTAGTTAATCAGTGTTAATTTAAATCAGCTTCAATCTAATACATTACCTTAATTAGCATTAAAGGGAGGGTTACTTGCTTACTTTAAGTATTACTTTTGTGAAAGGTCTCTACACCTTTGCGAATGTCAAGAACCTGCTGTACTACTTTAATAACTACTGTCTGAGGAGAGTGTCTGGATTGTCTGGTTTCTGTCTATAAATTATTAAATCTTGAAACATGTTGCAGGCTACTCACTCACACTAGGAATGGTGTCTTTTTTTTTTAATTCTTGAACATAAACAGGTGGACAACCAAAAAGTATGTCCCCAAACTGGGAAATATGAATTCATCATTTGAAGAAGTGGATAACTTCTACTCCTTTTGGTAAGTAAAATGTACAAATTTCTCTTATTTTCTCAAAGGAAACTACAGTAAAGGCTTGGTATTTCGGGATTAAATACCTTATAGGGAAGACCTTCCAGCATTTTGGAAGTATTATTTTTGTTATACTTTCTACTATTATCGTTTTAGATTCTCATGATCATGGATGACAGCAAATTAGTGTATTCTACACAGATGACACTCTGAAGTATACACTCTCAAATGTTTTATGAACTGAAATTCATGTGTTCTTTGCTTCCTTTGAATCTCAGGTACAACTTTGATTCTTGGAGAGAATTCTCTTACTTGGATGAGGAAGAAAAGGAAAAAGCAGAATGGTATGTGATCTGAAATTTAGATCAGCGGTCTCAAACTCATTTTCTGGGGGGTCTTGTATCTTGGGATATTTGTTCCACTGACGTTCTTGGTTACATAATTATTTAATTTGCTGCATAATTCTAATACTTTTACCCTGGCTCTGAGGCAATTTCTAGGTAACTACTGATGTGAGCATCTTGTGTATCCAGCTGTAAAAGATTTCAAGAAAAATCCTATATACAGTGTTTGTAATTAGTTTAATTATTTAATTGACTACTCAGGTTGAAATAAAGAGTAGAAGACAAGTCTGAGACCCCTTATATATATGATTAATCACACTAGCTGACGTGCAGCCTATTATAAAGGATTTGACTGACTTTGAGAAGAAAGAGGTTCATTAAACCAATTAATTTTCATTTCATGTAATGTGATGTGTGTTTGGAACCTATTGTTTATAGCTAAATGTCTTTTGAAGAAATATGCGTCACAGTAAGACGTTATGCCATGTTTTCCATGTGAAAGATTGCATGTTAATGCTACTTTGTTTTTCCCCAATGCCTTCTAGCCGAGATGAAAGAAGGTGGATTGAAAAGCAAAACCGTGCGTCTAGAGCACAGCGAAAAAAAGAGGAAATGAACAGAATACGGACATTAGTGGGTGAGAAACGCTTAATTGAAAAGTGTCAGCCTGGCGACAGGAATTAAGGAGGTTTTTTAGGTTTTCAGTTCTCCATCCTGATTCAGCTTGCTGTTGTCTCCCAGCACTGGATCAAGGTCACAGGGTTGTCCTCTGTTTTAGACACTGCGTACAGCTGTGATCCCCGGATAAAGAAGTTCAAGGAAGACGAGAAGGCGCGAAAAGAGTCCGAGAAGAAAGCCAAAGCTGAAGCGAAGAGGAAAGAACAGGAGGAGAAAGAACGGGTCTGTTAATAGCGAGCAAAATGCTGTGTGTTTGTCCTTAGCGTTTTACTTTACACGTGAAGAGCTGGTGGGCATGAAGAAGCCTGTTGCCTCCAGGATGCTAAACTACATATTTAACTTCTCTCTCAAAAGTAATGATCGAAAAGGCTTCTGTTGTACACTGGCCATGAGCCTGTACTTTAAATAAGTTTCTGAATTTTTTTACATCCAAATGTTTGCAATAATAAGTGCAACGTAAGTGGTCTTGTCTTTAATGCACCTGATTGTGGTTTTGAGGTCATGAGAAGTTAGAAATGAGATGAGGTCATAGGGCCCATCCAGCATTGTGGCTACTAGAATATCTGGTTGCTAGTAGCTAAGCTATCCAGAGTTTCTTTTTTGAAAGAAGCCACATTATATGCTTTGACAACACGGCAGGCTAGCTTTTTCCAGACACCCACAAGCTTTGAGTAAAAAAGAGACTCTTGGTTTTTAACATTTTTCCTTGTTTCATGCGACGATTCTGCATAACTCCATGGGGTTGACTTTGTTATTATGTATATTTTCTGTGTACCAATGACAGTTTGTCATTAGTATTCCTTATATTTCGACAGTTGTTTGGAATTATTTATTGTGCCATTCCTATATTTGTCCATTTTAAAACCACGGTGTTCTTTATTTTCCTTGTAAGTGTAAATTTGAAGTCTCGACCACAGCTTCTGATTCTGCCTCTTTGCACCGTCTCTCCTCCATGCGGTATGTGGGAAACATACTTGCTGTGTGCAGGCAAGGCAGGCCGAACTGGAGGCTGCCCGTCTGGCCAAGGAGAAGGAAGAGGAGGAGGCGAAGCAGGCTGCGCTGCAGGCCAAGAAAGAGAAGGAGATCCAGAAGAAAGCCATCAAAAAGGAAAGGCAGAAACTCAGGACAACATGCAAGGTACCCCAAACTTTATGATGAGGCTTTTTGTTTCAGGTTGGATGTAGTGGGATTAGTCTGGCCCAATAAAGATTTAAGTTTTGGATGTTTCCATTTTGAGTCCTGTCACTTTCGTTATACTGACGCTGGGCTTGTTTTTTGAGGTCTTTGTTGTTGTTTATGACTCATCTACCTTTTATTTAAAGAACTGGAATTACTTTGCTGACAATGAGGCTGAAAGTGTGAAGATGATGGAAGAGATAGAAAAACTCTGCGATCGACTGGAGCTTGTGAGGTACAGAAAGCCATTTTAAATTCTTCCCAGCTCATGAGAATATTCACTCAAGCTGCGAGTCTAATGTTATAGCTTCCATGTTGCCTGTTATTTATTTTCTTAGTACTTTATATCATCTGTAACCCTTAAGACGTCTTTATAATGATTTTATTTCTCCCCTCCCCCCGTAGCCTACAGTCCTTGAACGAAGAGCTTGCGTCGAGTACAAAGCAGGAAGGCAAGGCCGCGGTTGAAAAGCACGTAAGTTGGAGTGGGGAGTGGCGAGGGGGTCTGGAGCGAGGGCGGCTGCTTGCCACGCTGTGCTCACGCTGGGCCGCGCGGGTGCCGTGCAGGTGCAGGAGGTGAACGCGCAGCTGCAGAGGGAGCGGGAGGCGGAGGCCCGGGCGCGCCAGGCCGCCAGGATTTCCGAGCAGGCCAGCAGCGGAGCCGGAGGGGGCAGCAAGGGCTGGAACGAGGAGGAGCTGCAGCTGCTCATCAAAGCCGTCAACCTTTTCCCTGCCGGAACCAACGCCAGGTAACGAGCGTCGCCTTTGCGAGGAGCACCCCTCCGGATGCCGTCCTTGGATCCATTGGCTACTACCGAGCAGATGGGCTAAATGGCCTCCTTTTCATTTCTGATCGCTCTAATGTTCTTAAAGACAATTGCTCTGTAATAGACTTTGTAGAATGTACCCTATTCCGTTTCAGACACTAGAAAAGGCTGAACGGATTTAAAACATGAGAATTTTGTTTAGGGAGGTTAAGGAATACTCTAAATTCACTGCTATGGATGTGGCGCTTTATAAAGTAAGAGATCAGGAACAAATTTGCAAATAAGTGAAGTCAACTTTTCCCCATCTGTCTGTCTAGTTTCTTACCTGGTTTGTGTTTGCAAGATGACCTAGAGTATTTCCTGGTCAGAAATCTTGCATTCTCCCCCCCCCCCGGAAAAAAGATGTAAAACGTTTACAATTACATGTGGCTCTTTTGACATGCTTTTATTTTCTTTTAAGGTGGGAAGTGATTGCCAACTACATGAATTTGCACTCTACTAGTGGCATCAAACGAAATGCCAAGGATGTTATTAATAAAGCCAAGAATTTACAAAAACTCGGTAAGTGCATCATGTGTGTTTGCATTCTCATTTCTAAAACATGCTTTTCCATCGCGTGTTTTACAGAAGAAAATCTTTTTATTATCTGCCTTAGATCCTCACCAGAAAGATGAAATCAACAAGAAAGCATTTGAAAAGTTTAAAAAGGAGCATGCGGCCGTGCCCCCGACTGTCGACAATGCAGTTCCCTCAGAACGATTTGATGGTAAGATATGATGGGAGCAGGGCCTGTAAACACTAACACAGAGGATTTCAGTTTTGATTTCTTTCTGGAGCAGATTGGGGACAAGAACAGGACTGTTTTTAACCCACCTTTTTAACAATGTGTAGCGGAACAATTTTTGTGGATGAATGGATGCCTGGTTTTCTGGTTACATCGGTACTGTGAATCTTTCTACTAAGGAATTCTCTTCTGGTGGTTTTGTAGTTTCAAGCTCGGATACAAATTCTGCTCCATGGACGACAGAGGAACAGAAGCTCCTGGAGCAAGCGCTGAAGACCTTTCCTGTTAACACCCAGGAGAGATGGGAGAAGATTGCAGCTGCGGTTCCCGGCCGTACTAAGAAGGATTGTATGAAGAGATATAAGGTAATGTGCTTTCAGTGATATTTCACAAGTCGTCCACTTGTAGATAACTTTCACCGTATTTTACACAGTTTGTGTGGCAGAACCCATTTGAAAGTCCACTTTGTTTTCATTTCAGATCATTTGAAGTAAACTCATTTGTTAGCTTTTAAAAAAGGTTTGTCTTTCACGTACTGGAAATGGTAATACTTTCACAAAACCATTTCGGTATTGTTGTTGTAGATGCTGTTCTACTTGAACATCCTTTAAAAATGAAGGAGTAAATTCAATTCAGGGTGTGAAAAGGGCTAATTAAAATGTTGAAGATCAGTGCAAGGTGCTGCTCTGTAATTTAAAACTGGTTTTCTGGTCTCCCTCTAGGAGCTGGTTGAGATGGTGAAAGCCAAGAAAGCTGCCCAGGAACAAGTTGCTGTTAAAAGTAAAAAATGACAAGTATATAAACTGTGTTCTTTTAGTGTTGTTGTGCTGTCTTTATTTTATAATAAAAAAAATGCAAACAAACGTTTAATATTTTTAATCTTTCTTTCTTGTACACCACTTTATTTTCACAGAACAATCATTTCAAGGTAAATTATAGCCATAGTTATTGTATAAAATAGCCATGTTCTTAGTCCTATGTTCTCAGCCAGTACATTCCACTCCGGATTTTGTTGTAGTCTGGAAGCTGTTCAATGGGTCCTGGAAAAAACAAACAAACCAGTAGGAAGAAAGACAATGATCCACTGCTGTAGCCTGATTTGTCTAAACCAAATTCAAGAAGTCATTATGCACAAGACAAATGCTGTAAAGGTTAGTGAAAATATTGTCTAATTATTATTTTATGTAGCTCTAGTATGTAAAACTTTTCTTGAATTGACTTTTTAAACAACAAATGGACAGAGTCCAAAGTGATTAGAAGAATTTAAGGCAATATTGATATAGAGCCCTTAAAAATGTGGTATTCATTTTCATTAGCTGTGGAAAAACAGCAATTAAAAAAACAAATCATAAACAATAACTGACATGCATAGCACACTGAAAAAGTGTAGTTTCAATTATAAATACCAAGAAATTATAATAACACTACATGCCTGGTGGATAAGGTTCAAGGAGAATTTTGAGGTCTAAAGCTACTGAACCTGTTAATATAACTTATTATTAATATAATATATTTTAAGTTAATCTAAAAAAGTTCAGAGTATTGTATGAAATACTACAGCTTTTACACCATACTTCTACAATCCCTATATACTTGGCTATTTTTTTGTAAGAACTAAAGAGTAAAGTCAGGACAAACTCCATCATATATAACTACAACTACATCATGTATAAATCCAGACATTTTCAGCTTTAGTATTACAGGCAACATTGTGATTTTCAAAGGTTTGTCGTCTTGGTGAGCAGCATCACTGAATGGTTTTGAAAGATGTCTGACAGTGACAAGGAATTAATTTCTGAGTGTTTAATAGATCAAGCTGACATAATTAAAACATACCAACAGCAGCAACCGCAGGACATTTGTCATAGATATATTTTGTACAGACATCCTTGATGGTTTTGGCATCGATGGCCTGAAAGAGAAAAACAACTTAAGCAAAAACTATTCAGCACGGCCAGAAATATGTGAAGTTTTTCTATGGAAAATACAAGAATGAAAATTACAGTTATGCATCAAAGGGACTTGATATAATCAGGGAATGGGGCTTAAGGATTTGAGCACATGCAGTATAGTACGTATGTCATCAGCTCTGTTTGGAAATGCTGAGACTCCACTTACGTCAATTCTAGCCTCCAGCTCAGGAAGGGGAATTCTGCGGCTGTAGCACAGCATCTGTCTACCAATGTCCTCACAGATAGGAGTGGATCCTGAAGCAAAGCACACATTTTATAAAGCAGTGTTGCATCTTGAGAACTTTTGCACCAATAGATTCAGTATTAGATTCTTGCAACATTCTTGTAATTTACAACTATACTGTACCATCAAGATGCAGAAGCATGTTTGTTTTCAGTAGATTCTTGGCACGTGCTACCTCACTTTCAGTGACACTTGTACATAGGGACATCCTGAAATAACACATTAGAAAAATAATGGAAGTAAATCTTAGCAGTGCACATGGGGAAAAATGAAAAAGTCGATGTTATGACAATTAAATCCTGAAAGTAGCCAGGACACATAAAATATTATTACTCAGTAAAGTGGTTCTCAGCACCAGTTTTAGGGAGGCTCGATAAGGATGGAGATGACTGAAGAGTTTCTATCTTCTGTGTAAAATTATTCATACTCAGTAACTGAACTTTTTGACATACAGTAAATACCTCATCTGTCTTTTTCTTCATTTCCTGCTGCTTGGCTTCTGTGTTTAAAATTGTGTTTGGTTTTATATCAATTTATCCAATCTCCTATTTCAGATTAATATTTTACACATAACCAGATTCCAGATTTAGGGTTCTGAGAACTTAAAAGGAATGTCAAATGCATATGTTATTCTTGACAGCAGCAGATATGTCTTACCATTCTCTCTGAGTGAAATGCATCATCTCGGCAATGGTACTTGGCTCACAGACCATATAGAGACCCCACAGACCTGTGTCGGTGTAGCAGGTGTTGAAGGACTGGAAGCTGTGGCACAGATTGCCCTGGCAGGCCATCTGAGCTAACGTGCTGGACAGATTCTACAGTGAAGAAAGAAGAGGCATAAAAGACCATACATTTTCTAACCGTTTCTTCTATTTCAGGGTCGCAGATGAGCTGGACCCTAACCCAGCTAGCAATTGGTGCATGGCTGTCACAGGGCAGGCACACACCCACACACCAGGACCAATTTTCCCAGAAGACACTTAACATACTAGTATGTAGTTGAACTGTGGGAGGAAACTGGAGCACCTGAAGGAAATCCATGTGAACCAGGGGAGAACATACAAACTTCACACAAATAGCATCCCAGGGCTGCATAGCTATGAGGCATCAAGACTAACCACTGCACCACTGAGGCACAAAAGTGGAAAAGCAAATCTATTTTTTGTATTGGGCAGAATGTTTGGACTACCTCTTAAAAAATCTGCGTTTTTCTACAATTATTTTTTACACCTCCATACAACATCTGAACAGGTTACGGCACTTTTTATGTCAGAATTCACAAGCGGGCACGGGTGTTTTGCAAGAGCAAAGGAGTGTCGTACCACACCGCCTCCAAAGGACCGGTCCCAGTTGCCGATCAGCGTGTTGGCCACCATGAGAGGGATGGTATCGGGATGGGACCAGCCCACTGCCTCCACAGCTATGGCAATGTGTGCCAGGGGCATCTTGTCGTCCCTCACACGGACCTGCCGGGAGGGAAATTTCCAGCATGGATCAGCACATTATCTCCCTCTTCAGCTGCTGAGCATCTTTGATCTCATCAGAGCTGTTCTAACATAATGTAAAGGCTTGTACAGGAATGCACTTTTTCAGTCACTGACGGATAAACATGGTGTTAACTTGGCACCTCTTTAATCATCTTTCATGTAGGTAAATCTGTTTTCTAAAACAAAGCTTAATGTTAAAAACCCCCAAAAAAGTTTATACTTTATTTTTTTCAGCATGGTAGACCAGTATACCATATGGCAATCTGTACACCAAACTCTAGTAAATAGAAACCAGCTGGACCTTTTAGAAAAATCTGTTTCAGATAAAACTGGAAAGACTACACTTAAATTAAGCAAGGCCTGCAGAAAGACAACTCTTCAGTGGAAACAAGTTATATAAAAGATATAATTCTGTATAATACTTTTTGACTTGTCTTCAGGATATCAAGACAGGGGCACAAACAATACAGCTAATTGTAAAGAAGGTACCCTGAGATAGTAATGACTGTATGTATACTGATGGAAGTGTCAAATTCATTCTTAAATGTCAATTGAGCAGTGAGTTGTTTTGAAATACTTCCCCGTCGCGGCCAGGCAGAATTACAGCTGGAAGGAAACGCGTGGTGACGATCCAGAGGACCCAGAGCCCTAGTGCTCCCTCTGCGGGAATCCTGCACACCCACCTCGCTGCCTGTGAACCTGCACGGAGGAAGGGCTGGGGCTTCTCCTTCGTACTTAGCAGGCAGCCTACCAAAATGGTACTTAGCCAGGTCAATCAGCTCACTGTGTGACACGCCTAAATCAAACAAAAAACGGAACCTGAACCTCATCCATGCTCCTTAAAGTCATTTACAGCAGTGGTGTGCAGTCCTGGTCCTGGAGGGCCGGTGTGTCTCCAGGTTAACCAGGTCTCTGTAAAGCTGCAGTGTGCTGGGAGGAGCTAGCAAACCGGTCCAGTTAAGCCACTAACCAACTGGTTTTGCTCCTCCAGAGCAGAGCTGGACTGAACACCTGCACACACACCAGTCTACCAGGGCTACCAGGACTGAACAGATTATTTACAGTAATTTAATTCAGGGGCCTATGCTGTTTCAGCCTTTACGGTAAGTGTGCTTTATTAAAAGAAATGTTAAAAGAGATCGAGAGGCTTCCAAAGGAAAAAGCCACACCTAATACCCAACTAATGCTTAAAAATATGGTTTTACTTCTGAACCTTTCCAAATTTCTGAATTCCTTGATATGAGGAAACGTATATTATCCTAGACTGAACCATACTACTTTTACTGTATTAAGGAAATCTCAAGATTGGGGAAATTTACCAAACTACAGCATGCAATTCGGTGAAACTGTAGCACTACCATGATCAGTAGACATGGTTAAACCTTACTGTTACGTCTCCTCAAAGAGAGGGAAAAAAGGTTGCTTTGCCAGTCAAGTGGCAGTCGGAATTATACGACAGTGAAAGATGTATAGTCTAAATAACTGACCTCCAGCAGCTGCCAGTACTATCCTTGGGCCTTTATAATGCGTAGTGATGTATTCAACAAGGTCATTCCGATTTATTGTTCTGCAAAAAAAATAAATGAAACCAGGTCACATGTGTTCCTGCTGGTGTCACTCATTCACAAAGTGGACAAGCAGTTGGCCTGGGCAGGTTCCTGGCTCCTGGGAATACGTACTTGATGTTCTCGGTGGGCCCCAGGATTGTTCGGCCCAGTGCTGTCGACTGATAGGCTGTGGCATGGAGGTAGTCAAATACCACTTCCTGCAAGTTGGTCTCAACTTCCTGCATCTCTCGCAGGATGACCCCTCGCTCGCGCTCAATCTCCGCTTCGCCTAGCGTGCTGTTCTGGATAATATCAGCAAGGATTTCCACGGCTGGACATTCAGGAGACAAAGATACCCAGATTTAGCCCACAAACACAGGTCCCCGACCTCAGGTTTCTACCAATTTCACAAACAAATCTCGTATTCCGTTTTACCAATTTTCACTCAAAAACTTTGTGCGCTCAGTACATTAGGCATTCGGCCAATTGGATGCCGCCACTTAGAGAATTCCAGCCACAGCTTTTGTCTGTTGTAATGAATAGATATAAATGGTCAAAGAATAAATAATAAAATAATTAAATTTCCAAAGCAAAACTGCCACTTATTTACGATATATGGCAGCTTCTCCACACTCCATGTGTCAAGACACAAAAGCATGTGACCGCCATACCTCTGGGAAGATCTTTAGAGAACGCCTTGGCATAATAGACAGTTTGTTCTCTGGAGGTGTACGCATTCAGGTGAGCCCCCATGTTCTCAATCTCCAGTTCGAGATCCAGCTGTGACCGCTTCTTAGTGCCCTGTAGTAAGCAGGAAATCAAGCTTACAGAACCTTGCAAAAAGTGGGGCTTATCTATGCAGCCTACACCCCAACGTATGTTTAGTTTTTTAATACTACAACATTCATGAACCGTGTTTTACACTAAGCATCAGAATTTACACATTTCATATTCCTATGCAATAAACCTTTTACCCTAAAAATGAACACCCATGAAAACACCTCAGGTGCAGAGATATTGAGACAGCTGACAGAAAACTAAGACTCCACCTTAGATAATATACTTCCAGACTACAAACTAAACCCTCAGCCCTTTCCTTACCTTACCTTGAAAGCCATGTGCTCCAGGAAATGAGCCGTTCCATTGTTTCTTTCATTTTCGTACCGACTCCCAGCATCAATCCAGAGCCCCACCTGTCAGGGTGTCACATATTGGTATAAAAACATTTCCAAACCCGCACTTATTTAAGAACACTACAGGAGCTGCTTGATTATTCACTAAAGATGTCTGTAGCAAAAGCTACTGTACATCATCTGAGACACTCACCGTGCATGTTGACAGCCCAGAATCTTCAGATGCAACACGGAGTCCGTTCTCTAAAGTGGTGACCTTAGTTTCGGGTACATTTAAAATCACTTGGCTGGCTGCCTGGGTGGTTCTGTGTCTGTTCGATCCAATAATGTGCTGTTAGAAAAATACACACAAAAACTGAAACGGTGTTTACACAAGACAGCACAGACAGATGACATTAAAATGACATTAAAATGACGCTCAGAACCATCTTCCCTTTCCATCTTAAAACTCTGGAAGTCTGTTACTGTTAACCTGAAGCCTGTCAAACATTTCTTCTTGAATGTGCTCGGTTCACACTTCCGACAACTCCTCTAACATCTACCTGTTCGGACGTACATTTCACGCCGTCATTCACCCCCGCGCTATAGAATTTCTCTGCCTTTGACGTTACTTTCGTATTATTTTAATTACAGTATTAACTGAATTATTTTAGATTATCCCCCGGTTTAAGAGTTTACATAACGTATTTTTACAATAATTATTGCTGTTGTTGTTACTGTACACCGGTTATTTTGGTTCTCGTAAATAACTGTGGAATCACGCGTCACCAAAATTAAATAAAATAGTCTCATAGGTCCCGATCCCCACAACAAGCAAAACACGATACACGAATTCAGTCCCTTTGCTCTCTTCACGGTAGCATGTTTCGCTGGACTACACCAGTTCTAAGCCACTAACGTTGTAAGCAAAGTTGTATCAAATTATTTAATCGTAAAGACCAATACTTTCAGGTAGCTGTGATATAATATAAAGTACGCATCAAGCCGATAATACAGACCTTGGTTAAGGCATTTGTCTTTAATAAACTACTTCTCAGAAAACCCCTTCCCACAAAGCCAAACCGCTGCAAGGACGCCGCCATGTTTTGTATATCCGTGCACACTGTGCCTATGCGCAGGCAGGTTTGCGTTCTTGTAGTGCAGGCGGGTGCAGCTCTGCGCAGATTCTGTGCAGATGGGGTTCTCCGGGTTGCAGTCCGTGACGTTAAACTGGTCCGCTTGCACCAATGTACAGGGATTTTGCAGAGTATAGTTCCGAACATTTGGAGCAATGAAATGACGCAAGAGTTGATGTTTATCTGTGGAGTAATTTATTAATGTTGTCTTAAACCAATACACCGCAAATGACAACACTGATGTCGCTCTCGAGCAAAACTAAAGCAAATGCCTTCGACAGTTCTTGCTGTTTTGTGCAGAATAAGGTTATGCAAAAATGTTTTTTTTTTCCATGTAGCTGCGAGACATTACAAAGCGCAGGAAACTGTGTGACAAGAGCACAACCTATCAGCTGACGTTAGCGGCAGCATCACGCACCGGGCTATGAAAGTGCTAACCGACTTATTTGCTTCTAGCAGTTTATTTCGTTCGAAAATACACATTTAAATGAATGCCGATTTACAAATGTAAAGGTAAGGTAACATTTTAGAGAATGTGAAACTGCAGATGCATTAGTTGAAGGTGTTAATAGTTTAGAAATACGCATTATTATATTGGCTTCTTTTTTAACATTTTAATTAATACAGTGGGGGCATACCTTTAAGGTACTCAGATCAGATAAAGTGCTTCCATACAGACCCTACCAAAATGGCCACTTACACGCTTCACCAAATATTGCACAACCTTTGATGTGTGTCAAAAAAGCGAGGAAGTGTTTCACGAAATGTTCCGTTCAGTACGTTACGTTTTTATTTCTGCTCCTTTCGGCCGGCTTTTTTCTGTTCCTAGTTTTGGCTCTCTGGCCCAAGCCCATTTGAATAACTCTCTGATGCAGACAGTGCAATGGTTGGACATGGTGTGTTGATATGGAGTTTATTCAAAATGAAGTTTGAGCCGTCGAGGCTTCCATCTTCACTCGGGCGCCGCGAATTCACCCAAGTCCTCGGCTGCTGTCAGAGTCAGAAATCCAGGTGTCTGCACCGCTGCCACTCTGTCCAGAAAAGTAAAGTGAAAGAGGAGACCCGGGAAAGGTGAATATGTGCTTTAAGCAACTCGCACCAGTTTTATGAAATGTAGCCCTTTGCTGTCTTCAACGTATTTTGTTGCAGTAGCAAACCACCGAATGGTGAGTGAAAACATTATTCATCACATTACCCCGGTGCCTAGTATACAGGCAGAATGAATCACTTTGACAGAACTTAGCTATCAAACACCTATTCCGGGAAATGCCGTTTATTTAATATGATTTCAGGATATAGTGTTTACCGAAGTATTGTTTTAGGAACTTTTGAAAATGCCACAAAAAAAAACATTTTTTTAAACAAAGTTAGCGTAAAGCTTAGATTGCACATTCAAGCAGACCCATTTAATTTTTGGAAGAGGGTTCGATATAAGCTTTAGCAGCATCCACGAAGCCCGTTTCACTATACTGTGTATCAAATCATAAAAAAACTGCATGCAGGTTTATCGTGAGAACTGACAAGTACAGTGAACATGATGTATGCTGTGTATTATATAGAGAGGTTATTTTCCCTATGTGGCATTTTCGTTAGTCCCCTGCATTCCAGTTGACAATACAATCAGATGTATAGCAAATATCTGAATGTATTGTATGAATAGTTTTTAACTTTAATAACTTTACTTCATACTTTAAAAGCATGAAACAATGTGTGATACAAGGACATCATTTTACTTCTCTTAATAGTTACTTAGTAGTTATTAGGCAAGTATTATTAAGTAGTGAGGAAACTGTAGCTGGACAAGTTTTAACATATGGAATTCACGTCTTGTCTTGTCTTGTTAGCTTGCAAAACCTTTACTTTTCAGCGATGGGATGGGAGGTTTCTGTTTTGGAAGACAATCAAGTTGCATAAGCACTATTTTTGAAAGAGGATGCTTAGCAAAAACCCACTGAAGAACATGGTATTTATGTGTCTGCATTGAATTTAAAAAACGGCCTAGACTATTGGAAGGCAGAATTATTGCCTGTGATCAGTCCATTTCTACAGTACTGTATAATACCATATGTTAGAAATAAGTATTAACTTACTTTAAAAATGGTTATGCTATTTGGAATGGGACAGCTTTCATATTTAGAATTTGGATTATTAAGAATTTAGAAGTGAATAATCCCGAAAGTAAATTCTCATGAAGTGTGAGCCCAGCCCTTTTTTATGTTTTTTTTAAAAAAAGTTGAATAACAGGTTTGAAATAGCAAATTCATGTTCTGCTTTGACAATTTCCTGTCACTTTTAAGGTGATGTTGTATAAATGAAGATTTAATAATGTGCTATTAATCACCAAATTATTATACATTGAGAATGCTACTAAAGCATCCATATATATTAAGTAGTGATGAGCTTAGGTTAATAATAAAAGTCCTTCCATTTATATAGTGTATCTCAGAGTGCTTTATGTATAGGAAGCACCTGTTTGCCCAAAGTGTTATGGCAGTATTGGACAAGCTTCCCAGCCAGGTTGTTGAAGCTGATACCCTGGGTTCTTTCAGGAAGTAAGAGCATCAGAAAGGTTGCAAACACGACTTGGCCATTGGGCTCTTCTTGCTCGTATGGTAGTTAGTAGTTCATTGACCCCCGGATCTCATCCAGCTGTTTCTTGAAAGAATCCAGGGTATTGGCTTCAACAAAATGGCAGAGTCTTTTGTTCCACACTCCCAAACACTTAGAAATACCAAAGGCAAGTAGTGAAGGATTACAGTTTTCAAAAAGTTAAAAAAAAAAAGGCAAGTTATACTTTTAATTCCATCAATGACTGCACAAACGAGAACAAAAAATAAAAATGCCAGAAGACATTTACAGTTTTCAAATTTATGTCAAGATAAATGCTTTTAAAAAGTTACAACAAGTACATTTTCACTTCAGAATTATCTGCTGATACTTTCTTTTGACATTTTTATTTTTTGTTCTCGTTTGTGCAACCATTGATAGAAATAAGTATAGCTTGCCTTTTTTTTACTTTTTATAATTAAAAACGGTTTTTGAATGTTGTAACTCTTAAATGAATGTTTTGATGTGAGAAAATCTACAAAATGGGACTACAGTCCTGGTGCTGGAGATTACCAATTCACTAGGTCTTATAAATCAGCCTACCTTACCTGTAAACATGTAAATTATTGTTCAATGAAGAAAGTCAAGGACTCATAAGAAAGCTCTATTCCTTGATGGCCAACAACTTCTGTTTCCAAAAATATCTGTATTACTTAATTAAAAAAACAACAACATGCAACTAAGCCATGGTCCCAGATGAACTTCTAGATTTGATCACATATTGACCATATAGGTCTGTGTCTTTAGAAACTGAGGTTATCTATGAAGCCTGCTGTACGGGAGACCCCCATGAGAAGGGTTTGTAGTGAAAAACAATTCACAAAGAGTTGTCCATTCAACCCATTTATCTCGTTAAGTTCTCCATTATCAGCCTTGACAACATGGCTGGGTAGCTTGTTCCGGACACCTGTTATTTGTTCCACCAGGTTAATTTGTTTCTCTCCGCCCCTGCGTACCGTACAATATGTCTGTCTGAACCTACAACCTGCTTATCTGGTGGCAGTGGGGAACCTTTTAATTGTAAAAGTGCATATTTGGTCTTTTTTAAATATGACTGTTGTTTCCTTCTTAAAATGTGGAGAACGTTTATGTCAGATTTCGTGGTACATCTACACCAATGGTCTTTTAAAACTTTTGCGTTCGCGGTATTTAAAGGAACTTAAGATAACGGCGTATGTGTCGTTGTTTTGAACTGAAATACTTTTATGATCTCATGATAAACAATTTCTCAACATTGCAGTTTATTTGTAGTTAATGGGTTGTAAATATTTAGTGAATTAAGTAAGAAGTGTGATTATTTTGTATTGGTGCGGGAAAGAAAATATGTAGACTTATCTTTTGAAATGATAATAAAATTTGAATACAAGGCCTTATTAGGTCTAGTCACATGGCTCAGTTCCTGGTGAACAACGTCAGAGGATCGCTCGTTACTTTGTTATAGAGTCTACTGAGAGGCTACAGCAGTAAATGACGGAGCAGGAGAGAATTGAAACGTACGGATTTTAATGCAGATGTGCAGATAAAACCGGATTTAGAACTTGTGGACAGGCTGGTGTGTACGCCTTTTAGTGAGGAACTGAGGTACGGTGTATATTCTTAACTGTATGTCTGGTGTTGAAATTCCGTATTAGCTTTAGGTCTGTTTTTACAGATCACAGTGAAAAGTTGTTTTCTCCCCGATTCATGCAGAAAGAAACTGGGGTACAAATATTATTTTAAATAATGCTATTTTCTAACTGTTTTTCAATTTTCACTCCGTGTTTCGTGTGCAGCAGCGAGTCCAATAAAACGCAATTGCGCGTAGTTCTGACCGGTACTGGCACTGTTGGGCTTCTTTGCAGGTTAATAGTTTTTCCTATGTAGCCTTATAATTTTGGTTTTGACAACATTAGTTTTTTCAGACTTGTGTTTTTCATTCAGTCGTGTGTCTGCAACTGCAGTGCCTTTCATTTTTAGCTCGCAAAACGAGATCTATTTATGTTGCAAAAGAAAATGTGGTTGCGTTGTTTTTGGTTTTTCAGTGAATGTTCTAACTGCACTGCTGTGCAATAGAGAATAAAATGAAAGGAAACCAACACAATGTCGCATTTGAAAGTACCGTGTCAAATCCCTTAATAAACGCCGTTTTTTGCACTCTGGTGCGGATAATCTATTATATAATCTAGAATAAAGCACTTTTAGTAATTCGACTAGTAACGAGATTATGTATGTAATGTTGGATTTTTGCAATACTAAGTCGTCTAGTGATATTACAAAGCTCCAGGGCTTGATAACTTATAATTTACTAATTTTGGGCATATTTCGGTAATATTGTAAAGAAAATGCGCTAAGATCCTGTCTGCTCTGCGTTTAAATGTATTTTTTATTAAATCGCATCTTAAACCTGAGACTTCACCTCATTGTATATTTCCTTTTATTGCAACAAATCGTTAATCAAGTCAGGCGCTTACACTGTGAGTATTGTTTCGGGCAAATGTCACATGTAAAATTTAATGTGAATTAAGATCGTAAATTAGGGGATCTCAACTATACATCTCTGAGCGAAGTTTAATTTTGAAATTTGTAAGTCACCACTTTTCCTGATTTATTTTGAAGTGTCCACATAGGTGTCACCTAACGTAACAAATAACTTTTTTGTTGGCAGGAATAAATTTGGTGTCTTAATTTATTTCATGGTAGCTCGACTGCTCTGTGCATTGTGAGTACAAAATACTGTACACTCCAGGGATCACGCTAGTTACAACAGTGTTAATGTGGCATTCTTTTTAGATGGTATCTGAAATTGTTGAGGTCAAGATAGTTTGTTTTAGAAGAATTTCAAGGAAGAACCATTACCACCTATTCCTGCTGGGAATTTTTCACATGTAGAGCATCACTGTGCATCTCTAGTTGCTCTGTGTTTGTTTTGCCATGTCGAATCCTTCCTTTCTAAGTCACACAAGGACAAAAGGAAGGTTTTAAATGAGAAGAGGTCCTTCAGCCATTTTGTAGTTAGAAACTTTTTGATCCATGGGTCTGATTCAGCTGTGACTTGAAGGACACCAGGGTATTGGCTTCAACAACATGGCTCAGTAGCTTGTTCCATACTCCTACATCCCTTTGGGTACGGAACTGCTGCCTCCTGTTCCCTGCTTTAAATGCACATGAACAGGCCAGTATGAATCTAGAAGGCAAACCTTCAATATCACAGGGGGGAAAAAATATTTAATTGCAAATCTTGATGAGAAATTCGTCAGGAAATCTACTGTTCTTTGAATATCTCAGATTTGTTTTGAAGGGGAGACAGTCATTTGTATAATCATCCAGGAGATAAATGCCCAGGCAACAGTTCCGTTGCACATAATGGCTCTGTTGTATTCCTATCTTGCTGACCAGGCAATCTACCTGATGTGCTGTGAAATTTATTCAAAACCTTTACTCTTAAGCTTTCTGGTTCCTTCTCCACATAACTCATTCATATCCCAAAGAGCAGATCCCAGCTCCTTTTTTTGGAAGGACATTTTAAACTAAAGCTCCCTTTCCTGAATATAATCCACCACTTCTCATCGTCTTTTTGTGTTGTGAATGCTGTTACCTGGTCAGAGGTGCTCCACTGAAGCTGTGAGTTTGGTTCCATGGCTGCTGTGTGGGTTTGTATATTGTCATAGCAACAGTGAGCACATTTATGGCATTGCTTTTTCAAACCTAGTTCCTCTGGAAAAGATCTACTCTCCTTGGCAAACAGAAACGGTACATTAATGCTTCTGATATTGCTGATATGTTTCTTGCAAGGTATTGAATTTTATTCCTTAAAACGTAGAATTCTCTGGAGCACTGTCAGTCAATTGAGTTGTCTTAAAACATTAAACTGAGGTGAAATGTTATGTTTGTTGTAGTTTAATGTTCTTTTCCTCATAGCACTGTAGTGCATTATCTCCTGTACTCAAGACGTAATTGTGCAACTGAAATAGGCAGTTTGACAGAGTTTGTTTTCCTGAGGCAAGTCAGGAAATGCCTTACAGCTTCTGCCTAACTGTGCAAAACAGCATTAAAGTAGAAGGACACAAAAGGGACAATACCAATGGAATACAGTGAGTTTATGTTGCTATATGTGTCCATAATAAAGTTAAAATTTGTAGCTGCTATTGACTATCATTAGTTTATTTTGAAAGAGATGGCATTTTAATTTATTTTGATAGACAGTAATTCAGTGACTATTATTTAATGCTTTCCACAATGCAAGGTGTAACTCAAAAGAGCACCTACAGTACAAAATGTGTGCAATACGTGTATACAGTACATCAACATACGATGCTATCAAGTTAAACATGCTAGTTATTGATCACTAATGCAAGAATAACTGTTTTGAATACACAAAATGTGATCTTGTCTGTGCTGTAATTTATAGAATATTCTTGTCTTCAATCCTTATAGTACAGTTTTCACACAGCACCCAAATTTGATATTTTTGTAGATGTATCAGAAATAACATCAGGCAGTCCCAAGAGATCTGGTGAAAAACTGGGTAATGGTTATCTTGATCCTATGGTTGTGTTTCTAAACCATTTATTTAAGAATAATGCATTTGTGTAGTTAAAGCATGTATCTTTTGTAAGGCAATTTGATTAAAGGCCCCAGAAATATTTAATAATTAAAATGATAGTTCTGAGAAAACTAAATGAACTTTGAGGCTTCTAAGTGCCTCTGCAGTCAAATATATTTTCTTTATAATCCAGATGTCATGAATTTGACTGCTGGACTGTGTCAACTGAGATTCAGTGGTTTGATTGCCTTTGGCTGTGTGGAGTAGGTCTGAGGTTATGCAGCCAGGGAGTTTTGAGCTCCTTGTGAAATAGCTACCCTTGGACAGGACGTCCCAGCTGGGCAGCTGAGGACCTCAGGTGACCTAAATGAGAGACACAGCTCTCTTGCAGTTGGCCTTGATCCTTCTGTGCATCACAGTGGAGCTTGTAAAATGTCTATACCCTGACCCTTGCAACATGTCGAAAGATGGACAGGATGGGGGTCATTACTGTGAGCCCAGATGTGGGCTGGCAATTCTAAAATTGGTGGGTATATGTAAAATATTTGCAGATTTGTATCGATGTAGAAATAATGTTTATGATGTTCCACATACAGTAGCTGCCATGGTAATAAACTATTCCACAACAAGGTGTTTACAGTGACACTTAGAAGTCTGTGTTTTTGCAATATGATACGCTGTCAGTCTAGGCTGTTTTCAGCTGGTCAGCTTTATCATGTAAATTTCATGATACGCATTCCATTTGTTCCGGGTAGTTTCTTTGTTGGTCACAAATTAAACTTCATGCTTGTGAAAATAAAATAACGTTGGTATACTGTATGCCTGCCATTGGCCTAATTTTCGGCTAAATAATTTCCTTGTGACTAGCATAGAGACCTTCATTGTAACAGTGATGGTATACCCCGCTCAAAGTGTCGGGTTTGCTCACAAACACTTTAGTCAGAAAATAATGCAAAGCAATGCCAGTGTTTTCTTTTTCTCCTTCTAACAGCTGACTAATGCACATTATGTCTAATCATGCCATTGTGTTTAGAAACCTTTGTGGATTGATTTGGCTGAATGTTGTTCAAACCTATTCAGGATTTGAGGGGGCTGCAGAAGGTTGAATTCTTCACGTTTTTGCACAGTTAAAGCAAAACATCTGACAAGACAAACAAGACCATGACTGTTGAGGTTTGGGTTTTTCAGGGTCAAAGAAATGGAGATGAACTAGTAATCTCAGATATTTAAATCTTTACGCTCAAGCTATTTTTGAATTAAAATGTTTTATTTGTATTGACTTGTGAAGACCTGCATTGCTTTGCTGGCTCTTTATACATATTTTCTAAAGGTCCCAATGGGACTTTTTAAAAAATGTGCATTTACTGTTCAGCCAACAGCAGCCTCCAGCTTCTACACTGGACGGTGGAGTTTTTCAGTACTTTGTGTCAGAAAGTTACGTATGAATGTGAAGACTCAGCAAGCCCTATAGCTACTACTTCATTTTTTCTCAACCATAATTAACAACTATTATGATTTGAAGGCTGTGGCTAAAGTCATTAAATTGTTTCCGTGACATACATAGATCCTTTTGAATGCCAAAAGGTCTGTTCATGAGTTGCAGTGTCCTTTGTGAGTCGAGCACCTGAATATTATAAGGCTTGGCTCCTCCACCTTGATTGAAAGATGAATATGATGGCAGTTGGAAACATTTAGTTAAACAAAACAAGGGAGTTGCTGGCAAAGGACAAATAACTTTTTCACACATCAAAGAATTTGGCAGCACGAGTCTGATATTTTCTTAGCGATTGGATGTTTTTATGTTCTGAGTTCATTACAGTAACTGTGTACTAAAACAAAAGCTACTGCTGATTAGAAAAGGTGTATATCTCATTGTCCCTTTTGTTTTCTGCAGATGTATACAATTAAAAACACGTTACTATACAATGGTAATGAATTCCACAGTTCATCTGTGTGTGATACCTAGCAAGACACGAACTTGGGCATCTTTGGATGTTGATACTTTTGATTCCACTGGTTTGCATTGAGAAGAGATGGATCTGCATTGGCCTCTATCTAGGGGGCTTTCAGATCTTCCCGATCTCACGTGGTTGTCAGTAAACGAAACTCAGTATTGAATATCACTTGCTCCCTTCAGAGTATATAATGCTGAGTTGCAGGGGTAGTAAAATAAATCTTGGCAAAGTGTTCTTGTGACCTTTGTTGTATTTATTTAATGAAAGCCTGCTCTTGTGAAATGAGCCACGGAGCTTAACTATCAAGTCGTTTGGAAAGGGTTGTGGTTTCTACGTGCCTCGCTCAGGGCTGCTGTGCTGTGTCGCCGTGCGCAGGTCCGCCGCGCCCCGCGAGCCCATGGGCGAGAAGGCCGAAGAAGAGCGCCGCCTGGTGGGCGGGGGAGGCCTGCGGGCGGCCGGAGAGGACGCGGACCCGCCCGCCGCGGCCCAGCGGGGCTCCAGGAAGAGCAGCGGCTCGCGCTCCTCCCGCAAGAGCTTCCGCCTGGACTACCGGCTGGAGGAGGACGTCACCAAGTCCAGGCGGGACAAGCACGGCCGGTTCGTCAACCCTTGGCCCACCTGGAACTTCCCCAGCTACTCCACCATCTTCAGATTCGTTGTACTGGAGAAGAACCACAGCAACATCCCCAGCTCTAAAGAGGTGACGTTGCGGTTTATTTTTATTTACAAGACACATTCAAGCTTTATCTTTCATTGAAGTTTGTTTCATCCTTCTTCCCGTGGCTGTTAAGTGAAATCATACACCCATTTTATGAATTTTATAGATTTATTTTCATAAATTATGTCTTAATATTGTCATTTTGTACTGCAACGCATTGGGGGATTTGAATTTGCTCTTAAGCTGTACAGTAGCAATGCGATACAAACTAGAGCCTATATCCTGTTCTGTTTTATAAATAAAGCATGATGTCCCTTTTCCTAAGAGGGGAAAAACATATATACACACACATCCATTTTCCAATCACTTCTTCAGTTCAGGTTCACTCAGGGGCTGTAGTCTATCCCAGCAAGCAATGGGTGCAAGGCTGGGTACACCCTGGACAGGACGCCAGTCCATCTCAGGGCAGACACATGGTTAAAAACACAGACACACACAGCTGGCACCTAGAAGCCAGTTAACCTATAGAATTTACCAATTTAAGTAAGTTTACTAAATATAAAATTGGTGCTTCCTTTACTTATAGACTGTGTTTATGTCATTTTCTCAATCTAATAGTTATACATTATTCTCTGCTGGATAGATATTATCTTTATTTCGGGTATCTTATACAAATGTCGGTTTAGTGACCTTCATCTTATCTGCATTGAACAATTTACTCAGTATGCCGGAGATTACATTATTATACCTTGAGTACTTTAGCTTCTTTCTTTACCACAAATATTGTCAAAACTGTGCTCTCTCAAGAAACATCCTTGCATGCCATAAGGTATTTCTCCTGAAGCACAATGACTATCTGAATGACTAGGTATGTGATGATTAAACCAATTGTAGGTTCATTTGCCAAAGAGCTTCTTTCACTGTTCTTTTCAGGCATAGTTGGAATGGAACAGGGTGTGTCTTTCCTTTAAAAGTAAAAGTTTTAGTTAAGACGAGTGAGTATTATTTACATATATTTTAGTTTTCTTTGGTCTACCTTAGTATACAGTACCTTTAAATTGGCAACTGTATACTTTATCATAATTCTATGTTTTTGAAAAGTATTTTTGTTGCAATTTATACCAACAAAAATACCTGATGCGTAATTTACATATTCTGAAACAAACAAACATGTATATATGTATATTGTTAGATCAATGTTTAAGAGGAGATAATTCCATTGTGATTAACTGATTTAAAATAATCGTGGATGCACATAAATATCGGAACTATTTTTTACTTCCTCTGTTATTCTGTTGCGTCTTTGAAGCCGTATGAATTTTTTCATTTGGGATTAATTTCCCTTACAGAACATCTATGTGGGAGTTATGTCAAGAGCTGGATAATCTGTAAAATACTATTACAAAATGGGGGTTATGAAAATGGTAAATAACAGTAGGGTACATAGCATTAGTGACAGGCAATACGTGGTGTTTTCAGAATAGGGCACCATTTCCAGATGGGAACCATTTTAGAAAGCTTTGTTGTCAAACTAATACAAATATTTAGATTTCGTATACATCTGGTAAGATAATAGACCAAGGGAGATGGTAAACTATATCCAGTTAAGGATAAGCATCCCAGGGGAAGAAATCATCCACCTTCTTCTCGGGTGTTTCTGTAGAGAAATAATCTTTGACGTATAAAGGTTAATACTCTTACTGCATAAATCCCAGCATACTCTTACTCCATAAATGAAGTTCTTCTAGATCTGTGCGTCTGTGGCTCTCGTCTGCAGGTCCTGGACAAGGAGTTGCCCGTGCTGGAACCCTACTTCATCCGCAGCCCAGAGCTGGCTGGCAGGACGGGTTCGGGGCTGAGGGTCACCTGGCTGGGCCACGCCACCGTGCTGGTAGAGATGGATGGCTTGATCCTTCTGACGGACCCCATGTTCAGCCAGAGGGCCTCCCCCCTGCAGATCCTGGGGCCGAAGCGTTTCCGGGGCCCCCCCTGCAGCGTGGCCCAGCTGCCCAAGATCGACGCCGTGCTCATCAGCCACACGCACTACGACCACCTGGACGCAGGCTCGGTGGCCAGCCTGAACGAACGCTTTGGCAGCGAGCTGCGCTGGTTCGTCCCCCTGGGGCTCCTGGACTGGATGCAGAAGTGCGGCTGCGAGAACGTGATCGAGCTGGACTGGTGGGAGGAGAACTGCGTGCCGGGCCACGACGAGGTCACGTTTGTGTGCACCCCCTCGCAGCACTGGTGCAAGCGCACGCCCATGGATGATAACAAGGCGCTCTGGGGCAGCTGGTCTGTCCTGGGGCCCTGTAGCCGCTTCTTCTTCGCTGGCGACACTGGCTACTGCACGGTTTTTGAGGAGATCGGGAAACGCTTTGGCCCCTTTGACCTGGCAGCTATTCCCATTGGAGCATACTTGCCAAGGTATGGCACCACGAAGGAGGCCGAGCTGTGATCTGTGAATAGCCTAATCAGAACCTGGCCGGGTGGGCATGCGTCCCATCAAGCCCAGTTTTTGAACTACAGACAAGGAAGCCAAGAGTGTACAGTACATGTTGGAGTGTCCTTGTCCCGTAGCAAAGAGGATTATAACTTTATTGGAAAGCTCAATTAAACCAACTTGGTAGCTTTAGTGGTACTTTTGAAATTGTTTTCAGTAACGCATTAATCACTACCTCATGATTTGTTTTTCTCACCAAGCAGTTTGATACAAAGCCGCTTCAAACATACTCATGCTGGTTTCTTGATGATTCTTGTATTAATTTTTTAAGCCATAATACTGAAAATTGCAAATCACCTGTAATGGCTACATGGACACACAGTTTTCACTGTATTTAGCATAACTGCACTACATGTATATATTACATACACCATGGACACATAGCAGCTCTACTCATATTGAGTTATATTCAATTTAAAAAAATGTAACCTCAATTTTGTGATTTTTGTGAGCTCGCAGAAAAAGACATTTCATTGCCAGCAACTACTGCTGCACGCCGTATTGTTGTGCATTTTACAAATAAACTTTGATTTGATTTGAAAGAGTGGCAGGATATCTGCTGCATTGGCTATACTATAGAGAGTGGGAGAAAGAAGGTGTGGAGTTAAGTGCTTGGTCCCTGTGTTTGAATACAGCTGAGCTCTGTGGTATGAGGTGCAGTACACAAGCCAAGGGCCTTGCAAACATGGTGATAAAACTGTAGTCATTAACTTTGTCCTGCGGGGAGCAAAGTCCTCCCAGGAATTAACTACCAGCTTGTCTTTTGAATCTGGGTGTGGTGCTGCTAGCTCTTGGACAGTGGCAGTTACCTTTGTGTCTGATCATTGTGTTTATTGCCATTTGCCTCCAGAGACATGATGAGATCCCAGCATGTGGATCCAGAGGAGGCGGTGCGGATTCACATAGATGTTCAGGCCAAGCAGTCTGTCGGAATCCACTGGGGGACATTTGCTTTAGCTTATGAGGTAAGCGTGCCGTGCTAACGCTGACAGTAGTAGCCTTTCTTTTTTCATCTCTTCCAGGGATCGCTTTTATTAACATTCATTCATGTTCTGTGATACGGTATGTAAGGTCGAATAACCAGCATTTTGATATTTTTACAATATGGTGTAGGTGTGCTGCAGCAGTCCCTTTGTCAGTGAGTCTATTATAGGTGTACTTTCCCTGTCTGTGGTCAGCACATTCTAAGTGCTTTTAGTGGTGGCGTCTTCAAATACAGAGATATATAATATCCGATCAGCATTTAGATAAGGTGCAAGAAGCTCCTGGTATTTATTAGGTCTACTCAAATCTGCACAAGCCTGTCTTAGAGAAGAAAGTGGATAAGTGGATTCATGTTATGCCCGTGTTTTGTTTTTGGCAGCACATGCTGGAAGATAATATGCTATGTGTGCCAGATATATATTTTTTTCTCTTTGCTCTACTTATCTTTGTTGAAAGACAAGGATGTTTGATATCTTCAGGGGCTCACTTACATTACTGAAACCTTTACATAGAGAGTGCTTTGCTGTGTGCAAAGCGGTCAGAATAATGGAAACTGTTGAGTCTGAAAGAAGGATTTAACTGTACTGTATGCAAGTGTGTAACCCTAATTAATTATACTGTATATGAATACAAAAATCGTATTTTGAATATCTCTGAGACATTTCACAAATTGTCAGATAAGTTAGCTAAGCCAAGCTAAAGGCTACAGAAGTCTTTTTGGGTTTTGCATTTGAATGCAGTTTTTATGCAGTCAGTATGCTTCAGTACTTTAATAAATTACCCATTGATACTAACTATTTTATTTGGCTGCCAAATTGATCCACTTACATTGGCACCCATTTATTCAGCTGGGCTTTTTACTGGAAGAATTTGGGTGATGTTCTTTGGTCCTTGGATTTGAACCCACAACCAGTAACGAGTCCAGACCCAACACCTCTGCACCACACTGAGTATTGTGCTGCTGGGAAGAGTTACTAGAAGAACAAACATTATGAGACAAGGGTGGGGGTAGTACAGGTTTTGGATTGATTATTTGGCTTTTATGTGGAATCAAATGGTACAGTGATTGGAAAGAAACATCAGAAGTGCTATTGCTTCAGGAAACAGCTTCTGCACAGGACGCATTGGTTCAAAACTGCCAGTGGCTGGTTGAAATCTCTGCAGTTCAGAATTTGAAGTGCGCTGTAGGGGGAATTCTGGTTTGTTTGTCTCTCTGGCCTACTGCTATTCTGTGAGTGCAGAATGGGGACTGAAGGTCATGTCTCATGCCAGTTGAGCTCACTTAGTGCCCCTTAGATAGTCCATACAGAGAGAAAAGAAAAATAGAATAATTTGTTTTAGTTTAATTGATTTAGGAACAAATGGACCCCTATTACCGCACATGATTGTAAGAAAGCATATACTGACTTTGTCAAATGCAAGTGCACACTTCAGCTGCTGCTTTTTTAAATGTGATTTGTAATCAGTCTTCTGTATCCCCTGGGGTGAAATCTGTGAATGGAAACATAGTAGTCACAAATACAATCATGGCTGAGACTTGAAATCCCTTGGAGATATCTCCTAGGAATTAAAATATACAGTACTTTGTAAAGGTATTTAGACCATTCCTATGGTGTCCCAGTTTGTGAAGTTCTTTACAGCTCAATTAATTTAGGTTTTCCACAGTAAAACGTTTGAATACTTATACAATGATTCAGTTTCTCTTTCCTATTATCTATTTACTGCTTCCTTTTTACTTTGAATGTGTAGAATATGTTGTGTGTATAATAAATATTATTTTTTTATTTTATATACACTGTAGTGATAGCCATATCACTCTGCAACTCACAACTGGCAACCCACTGAAGCTAAGCAGGTGTGAGCCTAGTCAGGACCTGGATGAGAGACCTCCTGGGAAAAACTAAGGTTGCTGCTGGAAGAGGTGTTAGTGGGGCCAGCAGGGGGCACTCACCCTGCAGTCCATGTGGTTCCTAATGCCCCAGTATACTGACGGGGACACTATACTGTAAACGGGCGCCGTCCTTCAGATGAGATGTAAAACCGAGGTCCTGACTCTCTGTGGTCATTAAAAATCCCAGGGCTTCTCGAAAAGTCCTGGCCAAATTTCCCATTGGCCCTTGCCAATCATGGCCTCCTAATAATCCCCCTCTATGAATTGGCTTCATTACTCTGCTCTCCTCCCCTCCCGATAGCTGATGTGTGGTGAGCGTTCTGGCGCACTATGGCTGTCGTCGCATCATCCAGATGGATGGTGCACATTGGTGGTGGTGGAGGGGAGTCCCCACTACCTTTAAAGTGCTTTGAGTGGAGTATCCAGAAAAAGTGCTATATAAGTGTAAGCAATTATTATTAATTGCTACCTCAAAGAGACATGACTGCACGCTCTAAAGCAACAAAAATGCAAAACCTGTGCCAGGGTCTGAATATTTTGCAATGCACTGTGCACCACCTATCCCAGCTCCTCAACATGTTGAGTACATAATTAACTACACTACTTCATGTCTGTATTCTTTGAAAATTACTGGTTTAGTACATTGGAATAGTATTATGATCTCACAAGGACACGCTGTGAGTTTCTGGTCTCAAAACAAAAACCGTCAAGACTAGCTTCATGAACCTCCCCTCCCAACAGAAAGGCAAATATGAGGAAAATTCTGAAATAACCAGCATGTTTAATTTACGGAAAAATAATAATAGATCAAGTAATATGGTGACCATCAGCGCAAGAAACATACTGATGACCTCATCTTCATGGAAAGTCACACATGTTTAATGATCAATTTAAACAAATCAGTTTTTGCACTGATAGAAAGGTCCACAGGCAAAAGACAGGACTAGGTGCATTTAACTGAGGAGCAACTCTGAGGCTTGGTGGGAAGCTTTTGGGTTAGACAAACAGGTTAGAACTAAATTATCATTACCCTGCACTTTTAAACTTCAGTTGTTCCACTCCAGCCAGTGTTAAAATTATTTATACATTCTGTTATCAACTTCAGCCATAAGAGTAGTGTAGCCATCTAATTATCCGGCATAAAGTAAATATTTACTCTGACGACACAGTTAAAAATAACCGTTCAATAAAAAATGCCAAAAAGCTGTAGTGTTCTAAACTTTTGGCTCATCTTTATACTCATAAAGCATTTTTCTTTCATTTGTATGTAGCAACACTTTTTGTTTGCAGCTCAGTTTGCAAAGGAAGGGGTTTTGTCTGTTACAGTACATCCTGTAACCTTGTTTGATAAACATATAAACCTTAATCACATTACAAAGCTCTGCTTTTTTGAAATTACACAGCACTTCAGCCTGCTCTGAATCACATGTATCAGAGCATACATGCATGCTAGTTGCTCCGTAGATGTCCTCTGTAGTGTTTGCACTAAATAATGACAGCATACAACTACATACGTTCACTGCACACAGATCCAAGAGGAGGTTGTGGATCTGGTGTGAGCCTCCCTTCATGCAGAGATGAATGGCATGGATACAGCAGCATCCAGGCCTACTGGAATAGTCATGCCAGCCATCTGTAAGGATCAAAGCACTTGGAATGAATCGGGTGGAAGACAAGAGTCTCTGTCTTTAATGTTGCAGTGGCAGACATGCTTGTATTCAACTATTGACCATGTCTAACCTCTTTGTTTTTGTATTAAGTACTGTACATTAACAATATATTTTACAGAGTTCAGTATCCGTCAAAACACATTAGAAGCAATGTGCATTCTTCTCCTGTTTTGTAAGCGAGGCACTTAAAGACTTAAAAAGATAAATATTAAAACGAATTACTGGAAGACATTTTCCTTTGCTGTGCAAGTAAAAGAGTGTATATAGAAGTAGTTAAATCTGATTTAATTAGTCACAGGTTCATTATAATGACAGGAAAAAAAGTTTATTTTTATAATGTTTTCCATTCAGTTTAGGTCCTCTGACCTTAATTAATTTAGTTTGTCATGAGTTTTTAATTTTGTCGTAACAGGGAACAAATTGTGGGCAGTTAGGGTTAGGAATGTTGATGTAAACGATGTTTATGTGTAATCTTTCTCCTTTTGCTTTTTTTGCTTTGAAGTGTGTATCAAAAAGGTCCAAAATCATATATAATTGAAGCTTCTGGAGCTTGGTTCTAAAATGCGTATGTCCTAATGCTTTCTGTATACAGTGTAAAGGAACACCACATCAAGAGAAATCGGACACAGTCAACGTGACATACTTAATGTCTGTATTCCTAGGTGTGGTACTTGAGCTAACTACTAGAAAGTCCATTGCCTTTTTATTTCCAGGTTACAGACGGCTGTACTGTCATTGTAGTGATAGTGTCAAGGAAAAGTGACTTCTCAAAAAGAGCTCCATGTTTGGCATGGTATCCACAGCTCTTATTTTCTTGTGCGAGAATAAAATCTTCAGTTGCTTATACTGTATGTCTGAGTATCACACAAATGTGAGTGCTCTGTATGTTATTTAATGGCTACCAATGTGCACATCTGTATTTAAGTATTGTTTTTTTTTATTTTGAGGGGACACATTTATCCAAAGGTGACTTAAGATCAGTGAATGGTAAAATATTTTGATTGAAGTTCATAACCTTACATATTTACATGGTTTTTTGCAGTTTTATGCTGACTTAAGACTTTTTGGCCAAAGAATTGTTCAGTTTGAGCATGAACAAAATAGATTTATTACATTACCTCAAAATAGATTTATTACATTACCATTATTAAATACAAAAGGTGTCCAGTAATTGCCACCCGAGTGACAAAAGCAGTTCAATGTTTCCCCACACATTTAAGTTTTGATTAAAAGTATCCATTTAAAATGTATACATTTATAATTCAACAAGTAGGACATCACTGCAAAGGGATGAATATTTTTGCAAGACACTGTGAATGCACACCTACAGTAGGCTTGTTTATAACAGTTCGTAATGGGCAGTTGTCACCCAATTGTGAATTTTCAAAATGTTTTAAATTTGAATTACATTTATAAAGCCATAATTGCATGCACTCTGACATCTAAATAAGATATGGAGTAAGAGTTGTCAGTGGTTGCCAAGCAAATGATATTCATATAAAATGTATAAACACATTAATAAATATAGTACAAAAGCATTCACTTTGGAATTTTGTCTCATTTAAAAAAACTTAAAAAAAATTAACTGGCACATCTATGGTATGAAATATCTAACATAAAAAAACCCAAAACCTTTAAAATGTAGCCCTGTACGTTTATTGTACAGTGGCTATACAAATTAGTGCAAACTGAAAACAGGCTTTACAGTACCATCAACAGTGATGGTTGCTGGTTGTAAAAGTAAGAGATAACATGGGGATTGTTTAGAAATAATGTTTGTTTGCTGCTTCAGGTCATATTGGACATGAGGCATTCGGTGCAAGATTTACAACTACATTTGCAACTTTATATAATCATGGAGAATAAACAGCAGGCATGTTTATATGGCTACCTACTGTACATGAGGTCTTGAGCGCATGTAATTAGTATTGAAACTTGGAGAAAAAAAGGTTGCAATTATATGCATGTTTTTAGAATAACATTTTTGGATAAAATGCTGAAATGATTTTGGCATCATTTTGATTAATTTATCATAATTGACTGATATGCTTTAGTGACTTTGTTGTATCAGTGATAAATCACCTCATTAATAGGATTGCTGATTGAGCACAGGTGGTGAGGGGGTTTGAATGTGTTAATGTCAAGACTGGTATAAATGGAGAAAGCAAAATACAGAAAAGAAACATTCACAATGCCTTTGTGTCATCACTACAGTGGAGCAGCATCTTACATGGGCTTGCCAGCATTGGAGCCAAGATTATTTAGTGGTGAATCAAGGGTTTGTGCAGATGGATGTGAGCAAGCAAAGGAAAATTATAAGCTAATTGTTGTCTATAACAGACCATAGGACAGGAATGTCCAGTGTGAAGGTCCGGACAGGAGTGTCTAGTCACTACGGAACTCCACTTGTAGAGGCTGACAGCGATCTGACTGCACAGTGTTGCCACGGTCAAAACTGAGCACCTTGCCTGTTGAGATATAACACAGGGAAGAACGATCTTGGCAGCATCAGCATGGAAATGGCAGAAGAAGCCATGGGAAGGTGAGAAGAGAAAAAAAGGAGTGTTGGTAAGGATCCTTGAGAAATACCAATGGAAAGAGGTCAAGGTACAGATAGAGTGTCACGCCATGGTACTGTATGTGTGAGGAGCCCTTAGAGATGGACGAGGAACCAGACAAGAGTTCAGTCTGAGACACCAAGTTCAGAAACGGCGAAAGAAACAGGTCAATTGGAAATAATTCAAAAGAAGCAAGGAAACAGGTCAATACGTCTGGTTGAGAGGGATCAAGAGTAGAGTTTCTGAGAATAGGAGTTATGCAAGTCTTTTAACGTTCAGAGGGAACGGAAACAGAGATAAGAGTTCTTGAAAGGGAGAAAGTTAGAATCAGTACTTGGGAAAAGAGGAGTAGGAATGGAATCCAAAGCACATGTATCAGGCTTATGGTGTAATAAGCTGAGGTGGGCCGGAGTGTGGGAGCTAGCACTGGCACAGATTTTAGTGTACGAGAAAAATGTCTTCTGGGGAGAGAGAGAGAGATAAGAGCATGGAGTTTGAGAAGGGAGGAGAAAATAGAGAAGAGGTGACGGGAGAAGAGGGGGGTTCTTTTCATGCTTTCGTCAAAATCATATACATTGTAGTATCATTGTAATATCCATTATGCAGAACAGATAATCTGTTTTAAAATGTGCATTAAAGCCTTATTTATCGTGCAAAGTGTAACCTTACTTGTGGAGTTATTAGTGCTGTGGATTATGCAGAATGCTAGTAGAAGAGTAGGTGGACGTCCCTCCAGTGAAGACCTTTGACTTAGACGTTACCCACCTATAGTCTGTGCAGAGCTATGATGCTGCTTAGAAATTCTTTTAAAATACTCAAAATGCCAGGAACTGCTTTCTAACTGCTAAGTAAAGGTGCGGGCACTGTGATATTAAGATTCTGGCATTCTTCAATGTTTGATCAAAAGTGGTTAAATATACCTTTGCACTTATTCATCCTCATAAACATTACCAGGGGCAGAGAAGGTGCAGTAAGCAGTTCTGAGCTCTACAGTAGTACTCAACATGAATAACACAGTAGATCATGACTTTAACACACTTAAAATGTAAGCATTTAAGTTAAATGCTCTGTCATTGCTACCTAGGCCATAGGCTGGATTTAATGGATTACGTTTTTATTAATGAGCTTCCAGCTTTAATAAATACATTTAGTATTTTACAGGTTTCATGAATGCTGTTATACTTGAAGGATACACAAGATAAAAATGAACCTGTATTAGAAATCCTTTAAAATCAGTTAGAATAAATCCTGTTCCTTTCTAAAACAGGTTTACCTTAACAGTGCTTAAGAGGAAAAAAATGTTCTTCAGTGGGAACGAATTCTGTTTTTTAACATTAAATAGACTGGTATTAGATATAACGCCTCCGGAGAGGAAATCACTTGAATCTATAAAATGATTATTTTTCTAGCATGCTGCCAGTGGGGGCTTGCGCTAAATCTTTGTTGACTGTTTGAACAAGCAGTAACTAGGCGATTAGCATAGCACCATGGATTTGAAAGGCCCTTTGTGTGGTACTTTTGCTTACAGGTGCAGTAATCCATGCAGGACCTGAATACAGATCCAGCACATAGTTTTCAGAAGTCTGTTTGACACATTGCTTTGGATGTTTCTTTGACAGGAGCAAGGGAAACATACCCTTTTATTTGAAGTACACACCTTATATTTTATGTCTTTCATCAGTTTCTCTTGAAATTGTGGGCAGCTGAGAATTTTTTACATAAAAGGGTTCTATATTAATGTGTTGCTGGTAAAGACCAAGTATATCATACAGGTGGTAGAAACCTAAACTATAGATTTGAAATGGGAAACACTGCTTAAAGAAAATGCTAATGAAAACGTGGAGAGTAGACAATGTGGAAAGTAAAAATAATTTAAAAAGGCAAGCAAGATGTATAATTTAAAGTATAGAAAATGAGGAATGTTAAGTAAAAAAATGTCAATGAACTAGTAAGACCTTGTTTCAAATATTGTGTACAGTTTTGGTCATCATGTTTCTGCTGTTCTGGAATCAGTCCAGGGAATAGCAGCCTGATACATTACAAGTCTACAAGAAAGTATTCTATTGACAGGCTAAAAGCCCTAAAGCAGGGTAAAGTAGGAAGTGACCGGATAGAAGTATTTCAGATTTTTAAAGTAAACTAATTCAGAGTGAAATCATGAACCCAAGGACATAAGTTGAGACTGGATGGAAGTTCAGTTAAAGTTGAGAACAGAAGGCACTTCATTACCTAAAGCTGGTTTCATTCACTTCAGTACCTAAGGGTTGTGAGGGTCTGGAACAAGCTACCAGCCATGTTGTTGAAGCTTTTAAGAAATGGCTGGATGAGATCCTTGGCTCAGCTGGCTGTTAGCTAGTTGGGTCAAATTGTTTGTAACCTTCCTGTTCTTAATCTTTTACAGTACTTCTTGGATCCTCCTGTTAAACTCAAAGAAGCGTTGGAGAGATACGGACTGAACCAGGACATCTTTTTTATTTTAAAGCATGGAGAATCTAAAGATCTGAATGTTGAAGAAGATGTGTTTGAATGAATATCGAATCAAAAAGACTGATATTGGGGGTTACACATGCTTATTTTCATTATTCTTAAATGAAGTGATTCATGATCATGTATATACTGTCCTCCAAAAATGACCTTACACCTACTGTACCATTATTAGATTAATACAATGCCAAATGTAAAATGTATATATTCATATTCACAAGCAGGGGTAATACAAGAATCATCAAAAGAAGAACAGCTTCATGTATTTCACCATAAGGCTGTTAAAAATGTTCGTTTAGACATGCAGCTAGTCATTTTCTTAACTTTTTTTTTATCCCACAGAGATGGGTGAAAGAGTAACTAATGTAAAGGCAGTTTAAATTGGAACTGAATTATTTACAGCTGGTACTGATGTTCTGGTGTGAGTGGTGCAGGGAACTTCTCTATTCTGCCAATTCAGTATGAAGCAAATCACCCAACAAACTACTGTAGTGAGCCTTTTCTAGGTGTCGTCATTCAATGAAATGGATATATTTCTTTATGGGGAAAAATGCCACAGCTATTCTTTATATGGGGTCATTAATATTAAGTCCCTAATAGTGTACTTGACTTATTTTGGGCTTTCTAAAAATCTTAAACTTGTCAGTTTACAGTGTCATACATCCCTAATTATCTTACAATAAAGCCACATTCCTGGTTTAGATGGGAAGCTATGCTGTTTTTCAGTAACTGAACAATCACTTAATGCCCTATTGGAATTATCCCTTAAGCTCTCGTGTGTTTTTAAAAGTGGTACTGAGCACTTACATTCCTAAGTACTGTATATGTATTCTTTTAGCTAAGAAACACTGGGAGTACTGCTGAATGGAAAACTGAACCCAAGGACTGTTTTCCATACTGTTGTATGGAAAACTATGAGAAACAGGACTGAGGATGCAGAGAAGGTTTGTCTGACTTTTGTCTGAGTCTGTTTATAAAGGGTCCCAGAAGAAAACCACAAGTCAGTACTTTTCTCCCAGTGGGTCCTGAAACACATGTCTTTTCTGTTAGATCACATGTACACCAGGAGTTTCAAATTGGGGTACAAGTGTTAAAAGGGCCACCTGTTGAGAGCAGTTAGAAGTTCTGACATTAAAACCCATCTGCTCCTAGGGATTTTGGTATGAACCTATAAACCCCCTCACAAAATGCTCTGCATTCAAAATTATACCAGTGTATAATGTGCTTCATCAGTTTGACGTTTTTGTATTATAGATTTCAAAGTGTACAGGAGGATTTATTGCCAATTTCAAATGCTTGTCAATTTAGCTAGGGCTGAGACTTTTTAATTTTTAGTATAATTGTTCTAATGATTCAGCCAGGAAAAAAAAAAAGATTATGACCTTAAATGCAAAGTGAGAGTCTAATTGAAACGGAGATGCTCTTGAATTCGAAATTGTAATCTTGTGTAATTTTCAGTTAAAAAAGCAAGTACAATTTGTAAGTGCAGCTTGCTTCATAAAGCTAATATTCAGGCAATTGTACATCATTGACATCTACATATCAGAAGCCACTGTTAAGGGTCAAAGCTACCTAGAGCCATTCCTGAGAGCACAGGGCACATGGTAAGAGCACACCCTGGATGAGAGGCACGGTACAAACACACAAATATGGACACTTAAGAGGTCATTTCTTAGGAACAAAAATAAACACCTGGAGAAAATCCGTGTGATCTAGAGAGAACATGTAAACTCCACACTGAAGGTTTTTCAGTCTCCAGGACTGATACAACCCAAAGACTGCAAGGCAACAGCACTTAGTGTCACCCATACCAGTGCACCAGATGGTTAAAAAATGTATACTAAAATATGTAATGAACACCTAGGGTCATTTCAAAGGATAAGAAGAGTACGAATTTCTGTTATGACATGGGAGCAAAATGCTCATCTAAACAACTTAGGAATAATTGAGTACATTTGCCATAAAATCTGTTTCAAACTGTTTTGGGAGAAAGCTTTTTATAAAATGTAAATTAATATCCACTATATCATTTAAAAGTTTCATGAAAACTTAACTATATTCAACATAATTCAGGAATCACTACATTTTTCAATGTTTCTCTCTTAGAATTGCTTCAAATTCTTACTCTATTACGAATGCTCATGAATGACCTTCCGACACAGAATGTTTAGGTTCGTAAATTTATAATGAATAAGATTTAGAAAGCATGAAGTTAGAAGAAAATTTTAGTACTACCCCCATACTCCTGATCTATTTTGATTAAAACTTTTTTTTTAACCGAAAGTCATTAGTGTTAAAAATGAACTGTCTGGAGCCTCGGTTTTTCGTTCTGCTTTGAATTTTGAAGTTATGAGTGCTATGACATTTGCAGTGTACAATATGAATGTAAATAAGGCAGTATTTCATTGTATAGAGTATTTTAGCACAATCTGAGCTTTTGTATTTGTTGAAAATAAAAAAAACTCCATACTTTGCTTGCGACTCCTTCATTAAATTTGAAAACAGGTCAACGCACTTCTGGGCACTGTATTTCACTTTGTATAACTGTTCACAGACTGAGCGATTTGTCAACTCCATATGGCCTCCAGCAGCCTCTTTAAAAGCAATTGTTAGTATATTTCTAACCTCATACTTCTCTATAATTTATAATTAGAATATGCCCTCATAAACCGGGCACAGAATAAACAGTATCATATGAAAAGCCCCAACCAAGAGTTGCATCCAGTTACAAATCCTCAAGGATCTTTAATTCTTCAGAACAAAGTACAACTACAAAACAAAAATGTTGTAACATTATCCATATAAAGTCTGGATAATAATATGAAATTAACATTTTTTTTAGATTTTATTCTTTAGTCCAGCATTAAAGCATGTATATTTTAAAGGGATGCTACAGTACATATCTGAAATGACCCATGGCCAAGCTTCTCCTCTGGGAGCTCTTCTGGAAGAGCGGTTTGAGACAGCTGGGGACAGGGCTCCGTGCTTCATGCTGATGGTCACCTGGGATAAAAACCTGACGGAGGTGTGAGGATGCCCCATGTGCAAGTGCCCCTCGAGGCAAAATGATAACAGAGCGCTCATGATCTTAAACCATGCAAGTACAGGTAGTGGACAACACCAACAGAAACATCTGGAACAATGAGAGATACCAAGAATACTGAAGGAGAGGGCTATCACACAGGTGTGGCTTTTATTAAGCAAATGACATCCCAGCATAAATGGAGTCATATATAAAAATGCTGGCCAGGCCTGGCTGCCTATAATAGCACGGCTGCAACGAGACCTCGGTGACTTTTAAAGAGGAGTGACTAGCAGGGAGAGTTTGGCAGGAGCTTCAATGACCAAGACCGCTCAGCTTGCTGATGTTCATGATTCTAAGGTGATGTCAGCATGGAAAGACATCATCAACCGGGAGGGGCGTGGAACTGCATACTCTAAGATCGCGATATCCCTGCATTCATTCAAAGTGCACCGCAAAACAGGTTAGTTTAATCAAAAAACTGTATGGTGAACTATACAGAGCAGGATACAGTGAACAAACCACTTATCACGCCAGGCAAATCACACCTGCAGGTTTACTAGTGAAGAGCTCATCCTTCACCATGTTCTCGACAAACATACAGGTGAATGTGCCTAAAGAAACCTACAGGGCTGAGTGCGTGGGTCCAACAGAGAAGGAACCTTGTTGTTATTTAATGTTGTGGGGAACAGTTTTCTGGCATGGCTTAGGTGCACTCAATCCCTTAAGAGACAAGGTTAATGCTAATCGCTACTTAGTGCTACTTTCCTGTATGTACAGTGCCTCATCCACAGAGCAGGTGTGCTCATCCTGTGGTTCCTGTATGTTTCCATTTTGTCTTCCTTTCCAAACAGTTCTTAATAAGGTGCTGAAAATAAATTCCAGCCCCACCTACCACAAAAAAAAAGCCAGATGTGTCTTTGGGAAAACCTGTCACAAGCATCAGTGGAAAGTATGATGGTAGAAATGTAAAGCGACAGCTTGATGGAAGTCTTGCCACCTGGGCTGATGTTTTCCAACCATCATGGCCTTCTCAGTCACCAGCTCTAAACCCAGTCAATCACTTATGGGATATTCTGGAATGGTCCCCGTGACAACGGATCTCACCTCCACCAACCAGGTGCTATACCAACAGGCTGACAGAACCAAGGACCAAGAAACATCTGAAACATGAGACATGCTTGCTTTCCCTTTGTCATTAAATTAATTCCACAATAAACTTCCACCCGATCCAAATATCGAAACTCTCAAATTGACATACACATCCCAGAGGATTTCTTCAAGACTCTTGACACACGAGCCACGGGGCACAGGGATAAATACATGCAAGTGCATTTAAAAGCAAGAACAGGAAGCACTTCTTTACCCAGAGAGTTGTGGGAATCTGGAACAAGCTACCCAGCCATGTGGTTGAAGCCGATACTTTGAGACACTTACTGTTTTGGCTTTGTTCAAGAGATGGCTAGGAGAGATCCTTGGATCAATTAACTGCTATAAAACAAATGGCCTCCTCATGTTTGTAACCTCTCTCGTGTCTTTATGGATCGCTTTCTCATGGAAGAATGGTGCAGCACCCCTCCCAGGGAATTCCAGACACTTGTAGACTCTCTGCCACAGCACAAACAGGCCTTGCTGGTGGCCCAATGCCCTCTTAAGTGACTTTACATTGGTGTTTCCAGTTTTTTTCGTCCACTACCTGTACTGTTTCCATTTTCCTTTGCAAACACAGTTCTTTAAATAAGAGGCACTGAAAATTAACTCCAGCACCACATACCACCGATAAAAGCCTGGTCTTTGGGAGACCTTGTCACAAGCGTCAGTGGAAAGGCAAATGGTTGGCCAGGTAGAAATGAGAGGGGCGGTTTTTCGATGTGATGTGTACGTCAAGTGAAAAATCGTGCCACCTGCGCGGTCACCTCCGTGTCAGGGTGACAGAGGAGCAGTGACAGTTTGCTGGGGAGCTGGGAGGAGTCCCCAAACAGCACCGAGTACAGCGAGTCTTTGCTGCGTTTCAGAGCCTCCTTGGTGGGAGTGGAAGGCGTCCAGTTCGTCAAATTCCCCACAAAGGTCAGCACTCGGCAGAGGACGGCTGCGACCGTGCCGCTGTCAAACAACAAGACCAGAGAGGCTGGCGCCTGGAAAACACAACACAGACAACACTTCCGATAAACACAATCCCAGGCACTGCTCTCTCTGCATTACATCAGGGTGAGCGGACGAATGGCAAACAAAGTTATCCCGTTATTAAACCAAAGGCGAGGGTTTTAGCTGACATATCAAGAAAAGATCTCAGAAAGCCTATGTATAAAATACCCACAGTCAAATGAGAGTTTTTTTTTTTACAGTATTTAAGGCATTTTCTTTCATGCTGTAAATAAAGTTATAGTATATTGTGTCTTTTTTACATCTTGAAATGTTTAACTTCTAAATTGTTTATATGACTTTGGTGAACTTGAAACACTGAACCACTCTAAAATAACTTGATGTTCATGTGAGAAAGGAACTGTTTGACTCCAGAGCCAGTGTAGTCTGGTGACATGGTGGTGTGCCTTATTATTGGGTGTACTATGGAAGTTTGGCAAGGCACACATGAGAAAAAAAAAATCATCTCGAAATATTGTTTCCATATATTAGTTTTGTGAAGTAGCCCAAGTGCTGCGGTACACAGTCAGCGTATACTAGAGACAGAGGCTGCGCTCTGAGAGTGCTGTGGAAGCTGTATGTGGCGCAAGTTCAGATTTTCATGTTTGATGGACAGAGAACATCTGAGAGCATCTGAGCAAGAGCTCTGGAGATCCCCGTTATCCAAGTTGTCCTGCCAGGATAAGGAGAATGTGCACGCTGGGCAAACTCAGATTAAGTGCTGAAAAAAGGTTTGGAATATCAGCGATGTCCTTGGGCCATTGTAACCTGATGAGCTTGTTGCATTGTTGCTTGCCCATCTTGTTACTGTTCTCATGTTCCTTCTTAAAATCAAAATCAAAATTGTATCTTAAGAAAAATATTTGATTACAAAATGTGATGGAAGTATAAGAATGACAGATTTAAAATTAAAACAACCTCAGGCGCCGCACCCTTGCTGTTGACATGCCTGTGCACGTTTCAATCCGATGCTCAGTAAGAAAGCCGCGGTAGGTTTTAAAGTAGGTTATGTTGGGTGACGTAGTGGAGGGACTGAGAGCACTGCGGCCTCACAGCTCTTGAGTCTGCTTTCCCTGTGTCCGAAGGGGCTTCCTCCTCCCCGCTGGCTGGGTTACACCGACCCTGAGCACCGGCATGTGCCCTGCACTCCCGCCTTGTGCTCTGTGCTTTCAGGAGAGGCTCCAGGTCTCCATGACACTTACCAGTCATGAGTGGCTTTCCTATAATGGATGGAAGTGCCAATGTGTGTCCATAAATCTGGCATAGTTTTGTCAAACCTATCCAACCCAAAATAAATGACAATGAGGGACAGTCCAATGATTTGTATTGATATGTGCCACAGTATTAAGAATACCTTAATACTATGGATTACTATGTAGCCCCTGGACTGTTCACCACTCAGTTCAGTTACAGGCCGTGACAGGAGAGGGTAGAAGTGTTGGTGCAGGAGTCTGGCTGCAAACACTAGACCTAAACTCTTTATTGAGTGGGAGGTATGAATTGGCCTAATGCAGTAAAGAATAACAGGTTAAGAGGTGAATGGCTGGTATGGGAGTTTTTTAAACTGCTGAAGTTTTAAATGTTCTCCAAGCTGGTATTTAGACCTCATCTGCAATGTTAATTTATCTACAGTACAACTTTTATTTATTTCAGTTGGTGTCTGACCTAGACTTGAACAAGTCACTGAATTTGTGATAACATTAATCCTCTACTATGATATGACTGGCCAGAAAAAAACAAATGGTTCTCTAGCTACACCAATGCAGCTGTCCTAGGCAATAAAATAAAATACTGATATGGAAGTCAATTAGGCTTAAAGTGCTTGCAGTAGAATATATTAAAACAGCACTCTCTAAAATCTGGAAATTGACTAATTTTACACCCGGTCAGTAAAGAGCCCTTAACAGCCTCACTTTGTTCTGCTTGTCTGAGAAGATTAAGTGATCAGAGCAGAAGGGCAGGCACATAACACGAACCACGGCTCTGAACAAGCCCGCTGTGACACGGACAGCATTCCACAGTGTGTCATGTGTGCAGCTTTGTCCTAACTGGCAGTCAAGTAAGGTTACTGCCAGGAGTATTCCCTCCAGTCAAGGCTGAGCTGTGACAGCAGGTGTGCGGAATGTACTGTGTTTCTGAGGCTATGTTCCAGGACTGGTCATGGGAATGGGCAAGGATCCAGTCTTGCCCTTTCCCAGCGCAATACAGTCACAAAGTTTCAAAGCAAAGAGCCTCTGTAGGAGTTGGGGCTGCATTCGAAAGAAAAGAGAAAAAGCTTGCCTGGGCTCTCAGGATATCGTCCACCATCTCGGGATTAGCAGATAAATTCACCAGTACCTTGAGCACCTGAGTCTGGAAGGAACAAAGCAAATGTATTTTTATTCAGTGCTCGTGCTGTACATTTTTATAAATGCATTGCTCAGAAAATTATGTGGGTTAGACAGTTAAATGTGAATTATCTGTTTAAATAAAACCTGTGGTGAGAGGCAAACAAAAAAAAAATCAAGAGAACAGCTCCCCCTTGTGGCTCTCCCTATATGTAGACGTGATCACTCCACGGGGGCCTCAGGAGACGAAAGACCAAATTTCAGTTTTCTACATACCGAACACATAATAAATTCTGTGCTCCCTTTGTGAAAATGGGAGCTCTACTTAGCATCAATTTCGGTGTAACAAAGAGCAATTGGCACCATTAGACAACATTAGCGACATTAAATGATAAATTGACAAGGTGCTTCTGGGTTACAATAAAGCCCAGTCAAGTTAGCTACCTTTTAGTGATATTTTTCTACAGCATTACTGATTTTTTTTAGTTTCACAAGACTTCATGTGTCTGGAAAAAAATTAACAATTATATCAGTTAAAGTACTTTAGTACTTTTTCTCTCCTTAACATTTCCCTTATTTTTATTCGGCTTTGAGAGAAGCAGGAAGTCAGCCCACTCAGAAATGATTAACTATTCCATCCATCCTTTCTCTAACCTTTTTTATCCTATACAGGTCGTGGGGAAAGCCAACGGATCCAAATCAGAATACATCCCTGACTAGAAACCAGTCCATCACAGGGGACACACAGACGCACACCCACACCAGGGCCAGTTTTCCCAGAAGCCAATTAACCTACCAGTATGTCTTTGTATTGCGGAAGGAAACCAGAGTACCCTGATTAAAACCACGTCAACACTGGGATAACATACAAACTCCATGCAAATAGCACCCCAGGTCCAAAATTAAGCCCTGTGAATCAGCACTGAGAGGCAGTAATGCCAACCACTGTTCGGCTCCAGCTTAATTTTCATTTGAGCTATTTAATGGATGTACATTCTGTATAATCCATAGTGAAACACTTTTACAAAATGGAAACAACTGAAGCTCTTTTTAGAGGACATTATCAGTGATAGGCAGCAAACTGTTGGCCACAGTGGCATGGGAGTTGACACTAATGCCTCAGCGTGTGTTCGATGGAACTGGTTAGTCAATGGTCTGGCGTCCCACCCAGGGAGTAATCCCTCTGTACAACCTATGCTTCTGGGACAGGCTCTAAGTTGCAGTGACCTTTCTCCAAAAGAAGTGGCTTTCCAACAACAAATGAATGAAGCCTAATTTGAATTCATGACTGAATACTCATCATTGAGCACGAATCTTTTCCTGTTGGATCATGCCTTCATGCTGCCGAAAGAGTTCAGGTTTGATAAAGAACTGAAGAAAGCAAGAATGTAACACGTGTTCCTATTGAATCCTCTGCCTAAAATAATGCCTTTTAACACTTTTGTATTACGCCCTTTTCACTTAAAATTGATATAATATGTCTGAGCACTTTCAGAGCTTTTTAATTAGTTTTTAATTAAATTGAATTTTCATGATGTTTCCCATGACACTGTCTAGACTGGAAGAGGTATTCAATAATCTTGCCTCGGATCAAGGGCTCCATATATTCTCTCAGAATATAACACTTCCTGATTGGCCTGCACCTTCATCGCCATAAAAACCCGCCTTCACAGACGTCACCATTGACGTACTCTTACCATGTGCCTAGTTTTAATCCTTCTAAGAAAGGCACACATCACAGTCAGTTGTTATAATGCAAAACTTTAAGCAAGGCTTGACTGTTCCGCTTTTCCTCTTCAACAAACCATATAAACAACCTTTAGCTTTATGTTACTAAAAAAGTAGCTCAATAAATACATCTCATAACAGATTTCAGGTGTTGAGTGTGACATATTTATGTGCTGGTGTCATAACCACACCAAGAATACGGTATTATTTAAACACTTTTTTCTTACTCCTTTGATTTCTTCCTCACCACTAAAGAATGGAAAGGCATACCTGTAATCCTTCATTGCCTACAACCAACAGCGAAAGAAAGAGAGTAATCGAGTTCCTCATCATGTGGTGGTAGTCGTTTGTGACCGATAGGTTAGTCAACAGTCTTAATGCAGCCAGCTGTATATCTGAATTCACAGCAGAAATCTCAATCATTTCCAGTACCTTTGGAATATATTCCTATAGGGAAAATCCAAATGTAACTGTCAGGTAGAATATACATTAAGACAAAAAGCGATAGACAATACAACCCATTCATATCTAATGCACAGCTTGTATAAACATGAAATCAGGTGAAATTACAAAGGTTCAAGCACTTCTGTAGCAGTGTATTAGAATTTTCTAATACTTGATCATTGAAAGATTTCATTTAAGCTCTATGAAATAGATGACTATCATTAATTTATCCACTATGACTTACAGCATCAATAAGACTTCAGAAATAAAATAATAATGATAATGAAATAAAATCTTTATAAAGAAAAGACAGAAAAGCTGAAAGATGGAATAGTGAGGCGCTCAGACTAGATTAGACTCCCTGAGCAGCGGCAGCTTTGTGAATCATAGTAGACGTACCTTCAGTTGTTCCTGGTTTTTGGCATTCATGCTCAAGTTGTTCAGAGCATTTAAGGCCTGGACTCGGATGCCAAACACAGGATCTGACAAGAGGTTTCCTATGATTTTAAGGCCGCCCGTTTCACGAATAAAGTCCTGCAGTCGGAAAAAACATACAATCTTTATCCATTCTCCAGGATGACTACTTCACCACAAAAGCACTTCTGACAACCATTACTGTATATAAGATGAACGAGAACAAAGATTCTCCTCTGAATACATGAAACCGCAACATTTTTCCTTAAAAAAACTCTTGGTAGTGCTGATTGCTGAAGAATGTTCCCTGTGAAATCGTCTGCCTTCTTCCTTGTGGATTAAGACTAGGAGAAAGAGTTCAGCATGAGCATGAAACCAGACATTCATTGGACCTGGAAGACACTCAATGTTTTGCACTTGCGATATTCAACTCCCTTATTTATTCCACTGCTGTGCTTTTTTTAAACCACACACTATCTACCCGAGAGGTGTCTATTCCTGGTCCCGGAGGGTGGGTGTGTCTGCAGGTTTCCTAGGTCTCTTCAAAGCAGCGGCACCCGAAAGGTGAGAAGCTGTGAAAGTTGTCCAGTTAGGTCAGCAACCAGCTGGTTCAGCTCAATAAGAGCCGAGCTGGAATGTAAACCTGCAAACACAAAGGTCCAGCAGGATCTAGACTGGACAGCCCAGATCTGCTCTGTATACGATATGCACTTATTTGTATTGTGCTGTTTTGTGACGTTAAAAGACTTCTCCTTCTGGAGCTGCATTGTAATTACCACACTGCTAAGTACCAGCAGTTTACCTTTCCTGCAGGCACTATATTTCTGACAATATATTGTAAGTTTGTGATTAAATATATAATCTACAGGTATGTGTTATTAAGCAGCTATAGTGTTTAGCAATTTAGTGTCTTGGGTGGATAAGTCTCTGGGCTCTTAACGGGTGGATTGTGTCCCTACTGCAGATGCTGGTGTTGTACCTTAAGGGAAGCACTTTATCCCAGTTGCTTCAGTTCTCCCAGCTGTATGAATGGGGACCAGTACTGTGGGGCGGGAATCCCTGTAATGGACTGGTGACCTGTCCAGGAGAGTCACATGCTCTCTTGTCCACTTAACACCATGGAAACCAGGATAAGCAGACCCAGTGACCCAGTGTTGCTGGGCTATGGAAATTATCTGCCTTTATAGTGAGTTAATTGTAAGATGCCCTTGAGCATAAAATACAAATGATCCCTGATCCTCTGGCCTCAGGAATCACTCAGTATTCCGGAGGCCTATAGCCTGAATTAATTTACGTGTGGTACCTGGTTCACAGAGAAGGCTGCACTGTTGCCCAGAGTGACAAGTATTTGCATTCTTTCAGATGTGTCAGGATTACTCTGCAGCAGGGAAAGAAGCATCTCTAGATGCTGTGGGTCCAGCTTTCCAGGAGTTTTTGAGAGTATTTCACCTGCAAATTAAAAGCACAGGTAAAACAGCAAGTTAGAAATGCGCTTTAAATTCTTGGGAAATATTTGGCAGATCTAAATACCTCTATTAATGCCAGGGAGGATAAAAAGACCATCACCGCACTGGAGTTTCATCCTTTACAAACTTTACAGTAATCAAGAGTCAGAAGTCCAAATATTTAATTTTAGATCCAGTGGTCTGTTCATGCACATTTATTCAAAAGAAAGTAAAGTGTGTGGAGTATCCAGCACCTAGTACTGGCTATACACAAGAGCTTAAGGAACTTCAAAATTAACAGGTGAATAGAATACATCTGTTTTTTTTTTGAGAGGATATGGTTGTTTTTTTAAAATATTTTTGTGATTTCCACTAAGGACAGACATCCTTATGATCTGCTCTTGATGTAGCTTTCTCATTTACACTACACTTTCTACACTACCAAAAACTTGTATTATCATTATTGTATTGTATCTACAAGTAGTTTAAGTAAAGAAACAGCCGGTCAGAAGGTTTTAATTCTGAACATGTGCACTTACGCTATTTGTTTTTCTGGTTTTTCTATTTTCTATATATTAAACCGCATCTTTGTACTGTTGAGAAACTGCACATGATTCAGAATCACATACAGTGTGTGGTCACATTGTTAGGTACATCTACCCAATAGCACGTTGGTCTTCCATCTCCCCTTAAACTGCCCGGACTTGTTGGGGCTTGGACTCAACAAGGTGCAAAAAGTGCTGCACAGGGATACAGGCCCATGTCGACTCCAAATGTGTCACATAGTTGTTGCAACTGCAAATTAGCTGGTGATGGATCTCTACTCCGGATAACTCTGTCCATTATCCCACAGGTGCTTGACTGGACTGAAATCTAGTGACTTAGGAGGCATTACATTAAACTGAATTCCCGTGTTCAGTGTCACTTAAGTCTTTTGTCTTGCCCACTCTCCCTCTGAATCGCACACACGCGACCCGGAGATACTGTACCTGACTACGTGCTTTAAATAGCATCGTCTGCACGATGATGTCTCTGATTAAGCCCTCAAGTACATGGGAAGGGATATGTACAGTACCTAATAAACTGGCCGCTCAGCGTATGTCACTACGAATTTTGCACAATGTGAGAGCATCACTTCAAGCTCAGCATTAATCACTCTGACTGTACCACTAAGTCGGTAATACTACATTCATTATTTCAGTGCGGTTCCAGTATAAACATGCTCACACTTCGGTATGTAATATATTCAATAATTCACATAACCACGTGAGCTGCCCAGAGTATTGTCCTGTTTCATCTGTAAAATGGTGTCAGCAACAATCTTTAGCGCCAGAGAGTTTATTTTACTTCGTGATCCATCTGAGGAAATAACAACAACAGGACACGAAAGAGTACAGAGCAGGTGCACGTAGACTTGTTTAGTAAGAGAAAGACTTACGCGACGAACCATCGCCTGTACGAACATCTCTCCCACGAATCGAAGAAAACTCGAACACTTTTTCCAGCAAACTCCCAGGCAAAACCGCTTTCGTGGATTCATCTTTTCCTGAGCAATGTTCATTTACAACATCGATATTTCGGGATTGATTAGCTCGATTCCTACTTGCAGTCACTAGTTTGTAAATCCCGTAAGTGGCTCCAGCCCCGGCCAGTAACCCCAGCAACACCTTCATTTTACACGGGCTGGGAGCCACACTGGCACCGTCAGCCATCGTGGACTCGAGATCTGACTCATAAGAGCACAAAGTTGATCAAATACTTATTTATATGGTAAGCTTCAGCAAAACAAACAATTTCCGAACAGCATGTTGACAGTTCAGTTGCGACATGACTCTAATCAAACAGAAGGGTGAACGAACGTTTTCACGGGGTTTTTCTAACTGAATCTCTCGGATTCTGAATTGTTCATCTTGAAATACTGTATGAAGTGGATTATTCAAATTGGTATTTTTAGAGCCTAGTAATCGACTATGTCGTAAATATAATAATTAAAACGAAAGAGTGTCAATATAGTGTATGGTAATTCCACGTGCATTAACTGAAGCTCATAAGCAGCGTGTTAAAGGCTCCCATCAAGGAGTTCCAGACACGGGGATTATTTTCGTTTGGCCAGCGGCGTGGCCAGAGCCAATTTAGTTACTTAGTGACTGTAAACAGACTTGAGTTTTCAAGAGGGAGTTTAGAAAATACGAAAAACTTGTAGTATCGTACGTTTTGAAAGAGAGAAATGGATAATTTGCAACAAGCAGATCCGGTCTTGAGAAAATACATCATGCAACACTCACTTCCTGAGATCTATAAAGTAGGGTTGACGTTTCTGTGTTTTCCAGTATAGACTTTTATTACAATTATTTTACTGAATAACACGCTGTACTGACATCCATAAGGGGTACCTTCCATGGTCTTTAGCTTTGCAAAACGTAATGGAATTTACTTATCATTAAGCTTTCAGCGTTCGAGAGACAACACTTGTATAATATAATACATTAAACATGTTTAATATATAATTATATAGAATGTATTTAAAAAGTTAAATTAATCTGGTGTGCATCACAAAATTGTAATTTCTTATTACTAGCTTCATGGCAACAATTGGATATATCTACCTACTCCAGTACTTTTCTGGAATTCCTGTTCCCTTGATCTAATTAATACACCAGTGAAGTGCGAACAAGGATCCACTGCCGAGAGTATCCAAGAATAAAGTCAATATGTATAGACAGTTACATCTCCACTAAGGCAGAGAACACACCAGGCACTCTTTACTGCACAGGTTTCACTTATTCTGGCTTTATCATAGTACATAAAATACTGGCGTGGAAAATTGCAAAGTACTGTAGTCTGGCAAACACGAAAGGTGTGGCATTCAATTGCATATATGTAATCGGTAATGACATTTCACCAGGCATGATGAATTGCTTCCATTTTAACGTGATAAACTGTATATTTTCTATATTTGTATATTGCATTGTTAAGCGCCTTGGGGAAACCTTGTTGTGAAAGGCGCTATATAAAAGTTAACTGAATTGAATAGAATATATATTTGACGATTTTTAGGTGTGAATCAAGCGAAAAGGGTAGAAACACTACTCTGATTTGTAACCTGTATTAGGTTTATGTATTGCTTTGTCCTAAGGTGCGTTTTCTCTAAATTTTCACGATAATGGAATAATGGATATATTTTTTTTGTATCGACAGGCGTTGTTATCCGGGTTATGTGTTGTGTGCCCTGCAAACCCGTTACAGTTCTTGGAAGAGAAAATCAAAGAGTTTCAGGAAAATGGGAACTGGTAGGTAAATTTGGAATAGATGGGACATTTTATTCAATGGAATGGTTTAGGACAAATCTGGAAGAATCCTTACAGAGTGGCATACTGTACTGTACATGTGAGCGCCGTTACCCCATCAGGCCGATGTATGCGCAGTGAAAGCCCTGCCTGTTTGTGACGGGGATCGATACCAGTTCCAGGTGGACATTTCTTGGGAGTTTTGATTAAACCAAAGAACGCACAACTGACGTCTAATTAAGCTCTGAGAGTTTTGTTGATCCCATTAACTATAGGTAAGGTCAAAAAAGGTTTTACCTGTGTCCATGTCATCAAATAATTAGTTAAATAAAGTGTTTAAGAGTAGAGATGGTAAAATATCCTCAATGGCTGTATTTGAACAATCCCTGAGATTAGAAGATAAACTGCGTATAAAGAAGGTTATAGAAATTCCACTAGAGGGCACCGTTCTCACCTTAATTGTTAAAGCAGCATCTGTAGCGTTAGACGTGCCGTTAAGATTATTGTAAAACAGCCTATAGGACATATAAACACATTACACATATCACGTAGTGAAAGAACGTTAGAAACGAGATGATTTTCCTCCGGCCCTGTTATAATTTCGCCATGCAGTCTATTAACCATACCCAGTATAATTTTACCATACACCACAATGCAGTGTTGCATAATATTTCAGCTGTGTGTCTAAAGATTCCTTATAGCTTTGCTCAGTCTATAAAGGGAGCAAACACATGTACTGTTCTCTTTTAGAGGCATGAGAGTATGCTTCATCAGCGACAGGTTTACAATATATAATAACTTTATTTACAGTAAGATAAATTAAATCTGCATTTTGAAATAAATTGACTGTAGTATTCTGAAATAACAAATACTGATGTCTATATTTAGTCTTTGTGTGGAACCTTCTAGGACTGGCAAGACTCCCAAAAATATTTGAATTACACTGTCAAAGGTGCCCAGGAAATAAAATATTGTTTTTGGTTTCTTGTTCAACATGCTGGCTTTCATCAACCAGCTCTTCAAAATGGGTTCTGTGGTCAGTCCTTTTTTATTTCTAAAGTTTAATCTTTGTTAATGGGTTCCATCTCAGGTCACATTATTGATATAAAACTGTTACATAAACTCCCACTGTGAACAGGACATACACTGGTATGAAACACTGAGTTGCTCCCTGAAAGATCATCTTTTCCATCTACAGTGGTGTGGGACTGTTTCACAAAGTGAGATTACTTGGTTTAATTTGGTGAATTTAGTAAACCTTTTAACAAAAGTCTGGATTTTTAGTTTCATGAAACAAGACTGAATTGCATCTGGTTAAGTAACTATAGCAACATATCCTCTACTCTTAACTGGCTCCAGGGCAGGTTAATTCAAATATAGTGACAGTATGTCATGTAATAAGTAAAGTGGTGTATGCATTTGTTTGCATTTCTTGACAATATAAACCATCAAACGGGGGTTTCTTGAAATACAGATCTAGTATATACAGTATCTGGTAATATTCTTTTTTATGTATAATAAAAAAGGTGTTCTGGACTGCAAAGTCATCCTCATTAAAGCCCCCATATAGTCAAATGAGGCTCTTTTTAAAAGAGAATCTATTCACAGCATCAACTTACAGATAATAAAATTGTAGTGTGAAAATATGAACATTGATCACTCAAAAGCCAAAACTATAAAAGCTATCATTAATTTCCATCAAAAGATGTTTTAAACATGTCTGCCTACAATGGGTGTTACGTACTGTAGACTTTCCATCATGTAAGTTTCCACCATCACATTGTTTCCTATGTTGTCAAATGATCTGTGATGCATAGTGTTGCATCAGCAACATTTACATGACTCTGTCCAGGGGTTTCTCCTGGCAGGGCATGCGTCATCATTATTGCATGCACTGTGCTGCATAGCATTGCTGCCCTTAGGAAGGTGAGAGTTCCTCCCCTCCACCTGCACGCTGTGATGACCTTCCTCCTATTCATCTGGATCAACAAGGTGGTACAGCTGCGAAAGTGAAACAGTGACAACATTTTTTAAGACATATTTTTTTCTAATTTCATTTAGGTTAAGTTTTTACAATTTTAATTAGGTCTCATTTTTATGTGGCTTAAGACATTCTGCATCTTGGGTGGAAAGTCCAATCTATACTACTTGATGCACACCAAAAATGTTGTTAAAAAAAGACAGTCCCAATCAAGGAATGCATTCTTTGTTGTTTCTTAGTTGTGTTGATGATAATTCGTCTTCCTTCAGTCTTACTCTGCTCATGTTTCTTCTTTTTGGGTAATATTAGGAAACATTTTCAGTCAGAGGACTGCACAGCACTGTATTGCACAGTAGTTTTACAGAAGAACCACATACAACTTTGGATGATATTCTTTTATTGTGTCTTGACTTGCTGCCAGGTCCTCCCATTGTGCTCCAGCTACTGTAAATGCATTAATTACCGATGCATAATAACAAAATCATACAACCACACAATGGCTTAAAGAGGAGCTCCACGTCAATGCCTCAGTAATGTAAATTAAATAATTGCCAACACATTATCTTGAGATATTTCCTTGGATTTCATAATTAACTTCAACATTCACTCTGGTTTTTGCAGCGGCCACAGTATAGTTCCTCGCTATTACAACAGGCATGTATTCACATAGTTTTCCATAAACAGACATAATTCATGGTTATTGGATTAAGACGTGCATTTTTTGCCGTGGTTTTGCTGGCATGAATGAAGGATTCAATGCTCGACCCTCCTGCCTACTGAAGTGTGGCATGCGAGAGCAGTTAGTCAGATTGTTTAAACCTGACTTTCTTTGACTGGATAACTTTAACCACAGTTTGCCTGTATGAAACCAGAGTTATCCCGAAGTCAGTTATCAGGCTAATGCAATCTGAATAATTTATTAAGAAAATCTTGAATAGTTAAACTTGCTTTGTGAAACAGCTCCTTGGAGCAACTGTAAAGGAAGTGTGATCTCCCAATTTGGAGCCTTGTACTAGAAAGTAAGGCCAGACTCCAACGAGTACAAATGATATTCAATTGTATCATTGTATATCGGCTTCAAAAACATGGTTTGCATGTTCACTCCCTACTGTATATTTCCTCCCAACATCCAAAGGCCAGCCTTCCCTTACTAGGAATATAAAGCCTTTTTTATAATGAAGTTTATTTTTACACTCAACTTTAACTAAAGCCAATGTGAATTACATTTTAAATCTGTTAATTCTTTTAATTTCATTGAAATATTTTTCTTGTCCTGCATATTTCATTTTTATTATTTTATACATAACACACTGTATATGTTATTTTAACTTGTAAAGTGATGGATAAAGAATAAAAATGTTAGCACACAAATAACAGTATTGAGCTCTCAAACCACATCTGATCATGTCTGAGATTCTGCACTCATTTTTCTGGAATGTATTTCTGTTTTAAAATGTATATATGTTAGTGTAACATATATA